CTCGTGAGGCTGAGGGGAGTCCAGTGGTACCATTTTCAGGTAGGAACTCCGACGTTTTCACGTCGATTTCACGAGCTCAGTTTTGGTTACTATTCATGCAAACTTAATTTAGCTTGTTTTTGGACTTTTGAAGCTTGTAGTTGTGTTTGTGAGGTTCCCAGGAGCTTGGGAGTGCTTCGTTGGACAAATTTGGACGTCGGGAAAGCTTGGTTCGAAGTTGGCCGAGTTTTGGAAACTTGGACAGGTATTTTCTCGTAGTTTTAGGCCTTAAAACTTGTAGGATCGTGTTCTACTAGTCCTAAGGGTTAAAATGGTGCAAAAAATCTTGAAAAAGGGTTGAAAAACGAGCGAGATATGACGAGTTGCAGGTTTTCCGGCGACGGCGCCGGCGAGGGGGACTGGCCGGAGAAGAAAGGGGAATATTCCGTTAAGTTTAACGGAATATTCCTAACGGACGTTGACGGCGTCAGTTTAGGGTTAACGGAATATTCCTGACGGCGTCACTTGACGCCGTCAGTGTGCATGGCACGTGGCCGTGCGTGGGGGCGCGTGGGTCCGTGTCTGTCTTGGCACGTGAGGGCGCGTGGGAAGTCCAACAATTATTTTAAAAATATGGGTGTGATCGTGAGGTTGTGTAGATCACGTTGGTATATTCATTTGTCCATTTTGAGCAATGTATGAAAAGTTATTTTGAACGGACGGTTATGTGCTTTAAAGTTAACGTTTTTATAGTTAATTCGCATATAGGTGACACGTATCCCGAGGACGAGCGTGCACATTCGAGGCAGGGGGGCTACGACCCTTCCACATACCAGTGAGTGGGCTTTTGTTTTCCGTATACACCTATATACATATAAATTCCCAGAAATTAGTATAAATGCTTTGTTTTATGCCATTCTTTTTATATGATTGATGGTTATGCATGATTAGTGGCATATACGTTTAAGTACATATTCATTTATGATTGCATTATATATGTTGGTGCTGTGGAGGCGTAGGTAAGTAGCCAGGTAAGCATTATTTAACGATTGCATTAAATAGCGGTTAGAGATGCTTAGAGAGCTCATAACCTGCACCCCCGGTGTTAGTGCTCCCGCCCAGAGTAGGGCACAGTCCTTCACGTGTTGTTCACCTCCCGCACCACACGCTCAGCTTGAATCCAAGTTAGGTGCACAGTCCTGTCGTACAGACCACTATCGGTGGTTCCGACTCGTAGGTGACCCGCGATTATTCGCACAGCCTTCACGTGATCGTAGCACTAGAGCGTTCATATGTATTACACCCAGGCCTGTCGTACAGACCACTATAGGTGGTTCCGACTCGTGGGCAGGTTTAGTGATTTAGTTGAGATTTGAGCTCTAGATTCAGCCGTACAGGTCACTTAGGGGACTCCGGCTGCCAGTTTATTATGCTATTGATGTGATTTATACCTGAGCACGTGCATGATATTATAAGGTTTTGTGATGGTATACCTGTGAGCATGATTGGCATATCCTTGAGTATGACTTGGCATATCTACGTATATGTGTTTATTTTCTGGGAAGTATACAGGTTTTACGGCGAGGGGTTAGAATGTATTTTATGAATTGGTTTTCAAAGAATTTGTTTTTGCCCACTCACGCTTTTGTTTTGCGCCCCTCCAGGTTCTAGTAGCTTAGCGGGTTCGGTGGTTTTCCCAGAGGACGTCCCGGCATTCTAACAGACACTCACCTATGTAGGGACACCTTCGGGTGCACTATTGTCGTATCGTTTCTTTTGGACTGCTGTAGGCCTTAGGCTCTGAGCTCAGCAACTCAATTACGCTAGCACATATTTTATCACACTATATTTGCTAGTTTTAAATTATTCGTACTTTTATATTGCTGTTTTTAGCTTCCGCACTGTGCACATGGCTACGTCACTTCCACGTGACGGCCAGCATGCCCTGATCTTGGTTGGGGTGTGTCAACAACAAAATAACCCACACTATTTCTAAAATGGAACAAAATAAACAGTATTTCTGAAACTATAGCAAAATAACAAATACTACTTCTGAAACTAAACTAAAATAATCCACATATTTGTGGAACTACAACAAAATTACACACTATTTCTGAAAATGAACTGAAATAACTCACGTTTTTTCTAGAACTATAACAAATTAACTCACACTATTTCTGAAACTACACCAAAATAACCCATACTATTTGTGGATCTATAACATAATAAACCACACTATTTATGAAAGTGAGCAAAAAAAACACACTATTTTTGAAAGTGAACAAACATAACCCACACTATTTCTGGAACTATAGAATAATAACTCACATTATTTCTAAAAGTGACCCAAAATAACTCATACTATTACTATAACTATAACATAATAAGCCACACTATTTCCGAAAGTTGTTCAAAATCACTCATACTATTTATGAAAGGTAATAAAATAAACACTATTTCTGGAACTATAACACAATAATCCACACTAATTCTGAATTTAAACAAAAAAAATAACGCACGCTAGAACTATCGCAAAATTATACATTATTTATTAAAAAACTGAAGAACACACATTTTTTCTCATGATTCTAAAAGACGTTAGGTGCTAGTCGGACGGAGAATTAGACAAATGTAAGTAAATTTATTATTTGATAAAATGAAATGAAAATTTAAATAATTACAACTCCATAGTACTTTAAGAAATATTTTATAGAAATCATATGAATTTATTGTAAATTTAAAACAAAATAAAAGTGTAAAACATATGATGTAAAAAGCATTTGAACAACAATTTATAAAAATAAAAAATAAAATAAAAAAAAGAAAGGAGAGAGCTAAGGGATGTGACGCATAAAAGGTTGGAGGTGGGGCACCACATAATTTCTTAAAACATGTTGGGATGCTAGCTGTTCCAATTTCATTGAAAAACAATTTAATAAAAAACTAAATATGAAAGGGTGAGGCCACGTGGGGTCGGAGTGAAGTGAGAGACACTTTTCTTCTTCTCTTTCTGTTAAAGCAATTTTGAAAAGTTACATTTGAGCGTGATGGGCTTTGTAATTCAGCCCGTTTATAATTTAGAGTTTTTGTCCTTCTATTTAAAGGAAAAATAATAAAAAATATTTGAAAACTTTGAATTTTAACGATAAAGATAAAATAAAGAGTAAATTAAATAATATCATGATTGATTTTTTAATGTAAAAATGTGGTTTTTTTTCCGTTAAAATGAACAGTACTGAAATTTTTTCGTTAAAGTTCCCTATATTTAAATTTGAAGAGTTTTTTGTTAAACAATATTTTAAGCTGATTTATGGTTAAAATAATCTTCATCTAAGCTCTTTTTATTAAAGCTCGCTAAAATAAATGATGTAGAGCACTCTATCACCTGAAATCGGTTCCTAAAATCTTGCAAATTGGCAATTATTCCAATCTCATAACCCCCAATTATCCGTTCATTATCCTATCTCATGCAAATTAAGAGTTTGAATCTCTCTTTCTTCCTTAGACGACTCAGATTTTCGAGTCCGCAGATTCCAAACGTAGAGAGAAAGGTCTTGTTAATAATTGGTTTGGTCTGAGCACTAAATGTGTATTTTTAATAATTTTGCCCATGATATAGAGGTCGGCTAGCAATTTAAACCAGTTTGTTATATGGTCACATTCATTATTTATTATATGATTATGATGCCTTGTGTCTAATCCATTCAATATAAAAAAATAAAAAAATGTATATGGGTAGGCAAATGGCAGCAAGTTCATAATTGATAAGTATAAAATACTCCATTCTTTGGGTCCGTGTCAACCCAGTATGTGAACAGCAACCAAATTACAGTTGTCAAATTAAATTTTTGAGATGCACTAGTGGACGAAAGATTCAAATTTGAGATCTTTTTAATATGAAAGAATAAAACATAATTTTGACGAATAAAATATAATTTTGATGTGTTTATTTATTTGTAATGGATACAGTCTTGAATTGAAAAAGCCATGAACGAGGAACATAATGAAAAGGTATGGAATCAACGACCCATAACCCACCGAAATACTTGGTTCTGAAATTTGAATTACAGTTTGAATTGTCAGACTCACAAACTTTCTACTCCATATAAGAAGTCGGAAATCAAAATATTTAGTTATCTTAACCAATTATCAGTTTATTGGTGTTCAATCGCAGTTTGTATTGTGAGTAGGCTTGGCCTGGTAATTTTTTGGACGATCAATTAACTTGACACAAACATAATAAGTTTCGAATCAACCTGTTATCAATGTAGGTCTTATCGGGTCACTGTTAACGAGTCGGATTGTTATCAAGTCATCCATTAAGAACCTCATAAGATATCATTTTTCAAATCTGGACAATACTCGTTAACCCGACAAGAAATAACACGATCTGTTGACGAATCGGGTCGTTATCGGCTCACCTAATAAAAACCCGTTAACATAGCGAGTTTGCCACGACATGATATGTTAAGATCAATGTTCTAAAAAACGTTAGACGCTAGTCGGGCAACGGGTTGGCGCATAGGCGGATTTAGGTAAATTTCTTGTATATCTTGTAAATAAATGCATATTGACACTTACAAAAAATTATACTTGTATGAAATCCATGGATAAGATAATAAAAGAACAATAAAATGCAAAAAGAGTATCCAACAAGTCCAAAAGTTTAAAATCCATTAAGCATATATGTCATATAACCATAGTGAGAAGTATTGTAGGATGACACACGAACAACAAGTTCACAATTTTAAACCACTTAGACTTAGATAGGGCCTAGAGCCCAACTAATTTTTCCAATTGATTTGCAAGAAAACGCATCGGGTCACCACTGCTCAGCGCCTAGGCCATTTTTTAGAACATTGGTTAAGATAAGGGATATGACACTTCTAACCCTAATTACTGAGACTCACATACTTCTAAATTCTAATTACATACAAAAGTTAGAAATCAAAACACTTCTAACCCTTATTCTAGATAAATAAACGTCATTAGACCAAAGATTTTAAATACAAACACCAAAATTGAAAGAAGAAAGAATCAATACAATTATACAAGATGCATTGCAAAAGAGTCAGAGTTTTGATTAGATTTAAATCTAACCCTTCATCCTCTGTTGCCCTCATCAACTTACTCATATAATCTGTACAACTTAACTTGTACATTGCCCTATCAAAGGCTATATATAGATAAATTATACATGCACATATATCTCTTTTCCCTAATCCCAGTCTTAATCCCAGATTACAAAATCGGTTTAGTAATCTTTTATTAATCCCATTTGCCAGTACAAACACAACAACCCATTATCTTCTTCTTTTTTTAATTTTTATTAATTAATTACTTGATTAATTTTAATTACCATTCCAAAAAGCGACATGTCGTTCGACACCCACAATCAACATTCGTCGACTGGGCAAGCGAGCGAGGAGGAGGAAGGAGTTGATATTGACGATGAGGGACTTTGATCATCTGGGCAAATCAGGTAAGGCCTGAGCTTGTTCTTCCACAGCTCCTTGTACGGCCCGGCGTCGCCGCCCGTCCTCTTGGCCTCCACCACCACTAGATTTTCCGTCAATCTGGAAACCTCCACCCCGATTGTTAAATTCCCATTCTGCCCTTCCATCTCCAGCCCCCAATCCTTCTTCCTCCTCACCCTCAGCTTCTCCGCCTTTGCAAACTCCGCCACTCTATCCACCACGTTCTCCACTGTATCTTCCGAGATAAATCGCTCGCCGTCTTCCGCCGGGCTGCTGCTCGATGGCTCGAACAACCCGGACAGGTCCAGCCCGGCCGAGAACGAAATCAAATCGAACGCGTTCAGGCTCGTCACGCCCTTCTGCTCCTCCTCGCCGCCGCCAATTTTGGCGTCGTCCATCGAATAATCATCGTCGTAGAATTTGATCTCCTTGCACCCGCCTTTTCTAAACCACGGATCCTTCAAAATCTCGTCGATCGTGATCCGGGTCGCTGGGTTTGTATCCATGAGCCGACCCAAAAACCGCTTCAGATCCGACGACATCCATTTCGGGCACCGAAATTCTCCCTTGTAAATCTTCTTATACATGGCCATCAGATTTGGGTCGTTGAACGGCAGGAAGCCGGCATTCAAAACGTACAGTATCACGCCGCACGACCACACATCCACCTTGGCGCCGTCGTATCCCTTCTTCGTCAAAATCTCCGGGGCCACGTAAGCGGGGGTCCCGCATAGCGTGTGGAGGAGCCCGTCGGGTCGGATCTGGTTGGTCACGGCGCTGAGACCGAAATCCGAAACCTTCAAATCCCCGTTCTCGTCAACGAGCAAATTCTCGGGCTTCAAATCCCGGTGGTAGACGCCGCGAGAGTGGCAGTACCCGACGGCGGAGATGAGCTGCTGGAAGTACTTCCGGCTGAGATTCTCCGAGAAACGCGCCTTCGACACCTTGGCGAAAAGCTCCCCGCCTTTCACGAACTCCATGACGAAGTAAATCTTGGTCTTCGAGGCGAGGACCTCGTAGAGCTTGACGATGTTGGGGTGGCGGAGGCGGCGCATGATGGTGATCTCGCGCTTGATGTTGGACATGAGGCTGGTGCCGGCGAGCTTCTTCTTGTTGATGACTTTGACGGCGACACTCTGGCCGGTGCGGACGTCGCGGGCGTGGTAGACTTTGGCGAAGGCGCCGCACCCGAGGAGCTTGCCGAGCTCGTACTTCCCGAACAGGGCATTGTCAGGGACGCGCGGCTGCTGTGGAGCCAGCAGCGGCTGTCGTTGTTCGCTCTCCGGCATCATGGGATGCCGAGATGAGACCGAACCGGGGGGAATCGGGTCGGTCCGGGTTGTGGGTTTTGATTGGTTGAAAAGAGAGTGAGAGATGATAAATAAAAACGGGAGAGAAGATTTGGGGATTTTGTGTTTTTGTCAGAGGAGGAATGTCGGGAGTTTTAATTGGGAGGAGGAGGAGAGAAAAGTACGGAAAGGTTTTCGGTGGAAGCTGCGGTGGAGGATGAGTTTTTCTGTTGTAGGGTTTTAAGGGGATATCTTCCTATACGTGGGAGAGAATAGTTTTGTTTTGTTTTATTTTGTTTTTGTTTGGGTTTTGCGAGACCAAAATTAAAAAAATAGCAAAAGACGGTTTTTTGTTTGAACTTTTTTTTTTTTTGTCGTTTTTATTTTTATTTTTTGTGTTCAAAATGTAGGAAATTATAAAGGGTGAAACAAAAACATCATAAAACAAAATAGTTATCTAACAGGTCATCTGTTTATAAATTTCGTTTTCAGCCTCCTTACACTGTTTTTGGATGAAACATTACTAAGGAATTTCAAAATTATGAAAATAGAAATGACGGAATTTTATTTTTTAGAATTTGTAAATTTTCTTATTTAGTTAATCTAGAAGAACAATAAAACTTGAATACAATTTTTTTTATTTTTAAACTCTCACCCATATAAATTTAGAAATGACACTTATTTGCATTAGAATTTAAACTCGGGAACTGGAGGTCTCAAATTCTCAGTTTTTTTTTTTCCTACTCGAATATTCTAATCCTATGTTTATGAATCTAAAGAAGGAAGTTGGTGCATGTCAATTTATAAATTATGACTTTTGTTAATATTTCAAATTTATTTCTCTCAGTTCAACCATTCAAACATAGTGTTAGACTATATTTGGACAAGTAATTTGCAAGAGCAAAGAAATATACGCTGTGATCATGCTTCTGCGCTCGGGATAGAGTGCAGATGGTTGTTTTTTTGGATAAATCACATGTATAATAAAAGTGAATGGTGATTATCGGGCGTGGAAAATAAATTCGGCATTTAAACAACCTTCAAACCTTTTTTAAATTAAAATGTCCTAATTTCCTTGTCTGATGTCACAAAAAATAAAACTACAGAAACTATATGTGGTACATAAACGATTGATCGATGCTGCTACCAACCACCACCATCAGTTTTCAAATTCACTGCTTCTACCACGACCACCACCCTCGCCATCGATGCTTCTGCCAACCCCAACCCCATTCTCACCCTATTACTACCTTTTCCCTAGCAACAACAACGTCACCATTATCATCCTTGGTGACTCCCCTCCTCCACCACCACTAGCCACTACCATCGTTAGCACTCTACCATCACAACCATTCACATCTATACATCAACCACCACCACTCGTTTACAAACATATCATGTCTTCATAAAGCATATTTTTAAATTTTGCATTTATGTACCATTACAATTTCAGCCTCCTTAGTCCTTACACTGTTTTTAGTTGAAACCTTACTAAGGAATTTCAAAATTATGAAAATAGAAATGATGGAATTTTATTTTTTAGAATTTGTAAATTTTCTTATTTAGTTAACCTAGAAGAACAATAAAACTTGAATACATTTTTTTTATTTTTAAACTCTCACCCATATAAATTTAGAAATGACACTTATTTGCATTATAATTTAAACTCGGGAACTGAAGGTCTCAAATTCTCAGTTTTTTTTTTCTATTCGAATATTCTAAATTCCTATGTTTATGAATCTAAAAAAGGGAATTGGTGCATGTCGATTTATAAATTCTGACTTTTGTTAATATTTCAAGTTTATTTCTCTCATTCAAACATTCAAAGATAGTGCTAGGCTATATTTGGACAAGTAATTTGCAAGAGCAAAGAAATATACGCTGAATTAGAAAGAAATGAACTATAAAACTTGAAATGAGTAAATACAATGCATGATCATTGTGACGACATAAATAAGGGATTTGCAAACGACTAAATGCATTGTATTTACTCATTTCAAGTGCTCGTCTATTTGTAATGCATTCTAGCTAATTTAGCCAAAACCCTTTTTAGTACTTACAAACCCTTGTACAAACATTTAAGCTTCTACTAAGAAAAATATTAAGAGGCCGTTTGATAATGATTTCATTTTCAGTTTTTGTTTTTCATTTTTTGAAAATTGAAAAATAAATTCTTATTTGGCAACTACTTTCAATTTATATGTGAAATGAATTTGACCTTGTAGTTCTAATTGTATTCAAAACCTATTGTTTGCTTAATTTGTATTACTTGAGCCATTTCGAGAACAACTCAAGCTCATCTTGACACACATTGAATTGTATGTAAGCAAGTAAATACAACACCCAACAGACAAGAGATCGATGGCTCGACAAGCACTCAATGAGATCGAGTTACTCTTAGAGAGGGGGTCGAGTTTTGCTCGAGGGCTCCTCGAATAATGAGAACTAGGCAAACAAAGGGTATGAATGTTATTAGAAAAATTATAAGGTCAGCTAAGTATATTTATTAAATTGTACGACTCGTTTGATAACCAGTTTGTTTGTAGTTTATGGTTTAATGTTTTTGTGTTAGTGGGAATCAAAAAGTGTGGATGAAATGTCGTAAGAGAAAACTAGAAGAAATGTACAAAGAAATACTGTTAGTTACGCATAGAAATGTACACTCTTTCTAAAAAATGAAACTATTTAAAAGAAGAGAAACAAAAATCTACTTGTTGGATGGTTTCACTTTTGAGAAATGTTGTTAGAATTTCTTGTGGGAAAATTAAAATGCCCTACATTTTTTCTATAGTTATTAGATTAAACATTCATCCATTTTAAAGATTTGGTTAAGGTGCTTTGATCAATTGCCACCTCAATAATTTTTTATTTATTTAATTTTCATGTCATTAATTTAAATGCATTTATATAGAAGCATAAGGTAGCTTAGCAACTAATTATGTATAATATATGAATTTAATTTCGTCAATCCGCTTCTACGCATTAAATGATATTTTTGTAATAAAATAAAATAAAAAAATTAATTAACTAATTCCTCATTTCCTTATTATCAATATTTAAAAAAAAAATCTCTTTCTATTAAAAAAATCTCAATAAAAAGTCTTCAATACATATTTTTTTCACGTATAGATATATAAAAAATATACTTAAAACTTATGGTACATTTGAGAATAAAAGTATCAACTTTTGGTACGTTTAGATTTCAAATGTACCGAGAAACCAAATGTACCAAAAATTCAAATGTACCAAAAGACCAAATGAACAAAAAATCCAAAATGTACTACAAAACCAAATGTCTCTAGCTATCAGATAACCCTTTTTGGTACATTTACATTCCAAATGTACCAAGAAATACAAAAAATCAAATTCATTATAAAACTAAATGTGTCCATATTATAGGTAACTAGACGTAGCTAAATAATCAAACAAACCTTTATTATGTGTTGGATCTTCTAAATAATAAAATCTTACAATTTTTTTTATAAATATTCTACTATATTCACAAAAAAAGTAAAAATTATAACAAACAATAAAAAAAATGCATAGAGATGGATAATAAACGCTTAAATATAGGGATAATAGGAAAAGAAAAAAAAAATGAAATGTCCAAGAGAAGTTGTGAAAAACTAAAATTAAAAAAAAAAAATTGAACTTATGTGAAAAATTGAAATTAATAACCAAATTTTTAGGAAAATATTTGATCAAACTTTCAAAAGGAGTGTATGTTTAATCTAAAAAAATTAAAAAACGAGACGCCTATATCAAAACGCCCATTTTAATTTGTTATTTTGGGATGCTTTTGTTTTGTTTGTATTTCATTTGACTTGGGTTTAAGTTTCCGAAGTTGGTAACCTACCTACCTACCTACTTGTATATGTTTTTATTGCCCTTACCATATGGAGTGACTCAAGGAGCGAAGATTTAATTTGAGATTAGAGGTTGCTTAAACAGGAATAGCAACGTTAACATTCTTCTTCTACTTTCAAATAAGAAATCATACAAGAGTTTTCTAGTATGTTCTAGTGTATACTAAGTTGAGATTTTTTGTTATTTGATTCCTGATCAATCATTTAACGACCAATAATGATAAAATATTCCAATGTATAAAGTAACACTAAAACATATTAGAGGTACCAAAAAAATGCATGCATGCATTAATTTTAATGACCAAATATCTCAATGTACATAGAATATGTTGTAAACTACCAAGTTTTTTTTTTATTTATTTTTAAAGGATTAGTTGGTGGCTTGGCCACTATAATTTATTTTTTCGGAGGCCGAAATGACTCATAAAAGCTTTTCAGCTTTTTCACTCTTCCAAGAGCATTTAGTCTCCCTTGGTCACCATTATATGATTTACCATCACCAAAATCAAATTCATGTATGCATGCAATGTAGTAAAAACAACCTAATGACGGAAAATAGGGAAAATCTAACCTCCAAATATCTCAATACATAAAATACATCGTAACACACTTGAAATTTTCGGAACTATGTATGCATGCATGAAGGACAATCTTATCCGATAAATGTTTGAAGGCGTAAGACATATCTTGGATGAAGGTTTAGGTGTTGGCCATATGGGGTATATAATCATTTGAAATGACACACAATATATTTGAATATCGATTGGTCAGGGACAACAATTTGTGTCAAAAATTGTTAGTGTGTTTATGAAGCCAAAATGTGATCATGCTTCTGCGCTCGGGATAGAGTGCAGATGGTTGTTTTTTCTTGGATAAATCACATGTATAATAAAAGTGAAAGGTGATTATCCGGCGTGGAAAATAAATTCGGAATTTAAACAACCTTCAAACCTTTTTTAAATTAAAATGTCCTAATTTCCTTGTCTGATGTCACAAAAAATAAAACGACAGAAACTATATGTGGTACATAAACGATTGATCGATGCTGCTGCCAACCACCACCATCAGTTTTCAAATTCGCTGCCAACGACCACCATCACCATCAGTTTTCAAATTCGCTGCCAACCACCACCATCAGTTTTCATATTCACTGCTTCTGCCACGACCACCACCATCGCCATCGATGCTTCTGCCAACCCCAACCCCATTCTCACCATATTACTACCTTTTCCCTAGCAACAACAACGTCACCATTATCATCCTTGGTGACTCCCCTCCTCCACCACCACTGCCACTACCATCGTTAGCACTCTACCGTCCCAACCATTCACATCTATACATCAACCACCACCACTCGTTTACAAACATATCATGTCTTCATAAAGCATATTTTTAAATTTTGCATTTATGTACCATTACAATTTGGTCAAAGAAATATTTTTAGAAATTCAATATCATTAAGTTTCATCAATTTGAAATTCGTCATCTCAAAATTTCTTAGTGCTCTTAAACTTGTTCATCCAACATATGTAACCTTGATCGGTGAAATTTATGCTTGCACATTTGGTCGTGTCTTATCAAATAGTTTTAACGGATGTTCGAATTTGATTAGTGTTCTATGTAAGGCATGCACGGTTGGCCTCACAAAATAATAATACTTAACACTGTTAACTCTTTGTTAAACTGCATAACACGTGTCAAGTAAATAGATAGGAGACATGAAAGAAGACAGAAAATTTGAGACAGCGGACCTACATCCCGCTCGTTTAAGCTCTGCCAAATTGTCAATTCGATCAGTGCTAAAAAATTTATAAACTTCATTAAAATTGTGTTACTTGTGAAATAGTGGGGTGTTAAATGAGAAACGATTTAGTCATGGCAGTATAAGTGTTAACAACCAATCGTTACTTGATTGGAATGTTAGGTTTGAGTCCACCAGCTAAAGCTTCCTTCACGTACGTTATATGCAACAACGACAGGGTTTACTAAATTGATTACTAAATCAACAAGTAATTAACCTAATATAATATGACTATTTAGCAGAAATATTGAATGGCTAAAGCAGCATGGGCATAAGTAATACGAAGGGTCAATTAATTGGGACCAACAAAAATATTGAATGGCTAAGAATTAAACCAAAGATTTATAGTTTGTTTTGAAATGCATGGCTGCCATTGACAGGAGCCAAACCAACGACCGATCAGGAAGCAAACTTAGTTAGCTTATGTTCCAAAGCTACAAGAGCCAAGTGATTATAGTCTGATAGAGAGTGTGGCATTGGCACTACAATCCCTTTCTTTATAGCTTTTATCTTTGTCTTGCAAAACAAACTTCAACTCTCATTTCTGCCTCAATCCTCTAATGTCAGATATTTTTACACCGCTACACAGTGTTATCCAATCATCTTGTACTATACTGCACATATTTATTTATCTTATTTGGTCTCCCCCTATGACGGATTGAAATAGATAACCAACTATATTTAAAATTATGTTGAAGAAAGAAACAAAATAAATGCATCCAACTTGAAGGAAGAAAATCGAGGAATTATTGTTTTAAGTAAAGAAACTTATTTGTCCTCATATTCGGCTTTGTCTACTTATATTATAAACGTTGGTAGATGAATTATTTCCTATATTTTCATGCCAATTATTCCTAGGTTTTATTAAATAATTAATTTTAAAAGAGCTTTTTTACTTTTCTTTTTTCTCAATTTCAGCTAAGCTTAGCTGTGCACTTAAAATATTTGTTGTGATAAATTAACTTTTCGGAGGGATTTTTTGCAAGGCCCAGCGTAGAAGGAAGCTAAACGCTTTTGGAAAAATTCCTTTCTTTTGTGGCCTCTTAACAATTTAAGGGCCATGTACTTTCTCTGCTGTTAGAACATTCATGGACAATTTACTGTGTATTTTTTTAGAAGAGGTACGATATTCATTGATACGAGAAAGAATATGTACAGATAGTAGGATAGGGTGCATTTTATAGGGCCTCGATAAAAACCTTGCTGGGGATTTCAACCCAGTCGAAGGGAAAAAGAGCGTCCCGCACCACGAAAATATAAAACTTAACTATCCTCTATCAGAAAATCAGTGATTACATCAAGAGATTCCTCGAACCAAACTCATCGCTGTTCTAGAGTGAGTCCCAATTGCGCCAATCTGTGAGCAACCTTGTTTGTCTCCCTGCAAGCATGCTTAAGTTTGGTTTGTGGAGTGGAGCGCAGGAAGTAGCGCTTCTCATTTACTATACTATTCATCAACGACATGTCATCTTAGATTTAGCGCAGCAAGGACCAACGCTGCATCTCCTTCAAGTTCCACCAGTTCCTTGTTTAACTCTCCCACCAGCAAGATTGCAGCACATGCTGCCTCTATTTCTGCCAACAACGGTGAAGAGATGCCGTCCAGTTTCATCGCCAGCGCCCCCCACAAACTGACTTGTGTCGTTTCTTAGCACCACTCCAATTCCCCCTATCTTCCTGTTCCTTCCATGCCCCATTAAAACTGCAATTTACGAGTATTAGATGTCATCAGAAGATAAACAATCCTTTTCTTTTTAATCAAACAACAATATAATATCTATTCCAGCATTGCTATCATGGAGAAATATTGTTTCGAAAATATTAATAAAAAATGAAAATGAAAGAGCGAGAAACAATGACCTCAGCTCAAACCAACTTTGAATCTCAAGAGAGAAACGATCAACGCAGAAGAAAGCCCTTGTAATAATTCACCATCCAGAGATTCACCAATTCACCGATGAAAACTTGGTCTGCTTGAGAAGAGCTAACTTGTACTTCAACCGGAATATCAATATTCTACCGAATGCATACTGGTCTATTATCTTAGCTGAAACCCTAATCACCATCCAAGGTGTTGTAAATGAAGGATCGGCATTGAATGAAATTTATGTCACAAACTGTTACTGTTTGACAAAGGCTTCTGCGGAATCCCAAGTCAAATCGCTCCTCCATGGAATTTCCAAAGAAGTCAAGGACTGCATCTACTTTTTGAAATTCTTCTTCAGCTGTGTACCTGAAATTGAAGTTGTAAGAGATGAAGGGAATGTGTTTATCATTTGATTGCCTAAAAATTTGAAATATATGACTAGAAAGGATTACACTCAACTCATGCTAATACCCTTTCTATCAAATTTGAAGTATAATCTGCGATACCAAGAAGGTTGGAAATATGGAAGCACTCTTATTTTGTGCATGTAGTAAAAGTAAGTTACCTGCTTTTGGTTACGAAACACTTCATTCCAGCAACTTTGGCTGCTGCAAGGCCCATGCCCATGCCGCTTTTGGTTACCATACACTTCATAAACCTTGGGGTAAAGAATGCACATATGTTTGTAGGAGCAAGTAACTTCTTGTTTTCAGCTTGAATTTTCTGCTTAAAATAGAGACTACTTCCTTCATATCTGCAGTGCACATTTTATTATAAACACGATTAATTCTCGGCTATAAAAATGTTAATCCTTTATAATGGCATAAGAAAGTGTCTCAAAGAAGACAGTGTTACCTTCACAGCTCGAAGAACTCTGTAAAATACTAAGGTGTGGAGACAATGGTGAGTAAACACCATCAGGAAGAGACCCAAAGTACCCAGTATGGACCTACAACAACATCGTTATCATCAGGGCATTCCATGTAAAATAATTTACTATCTTAGAAACAACAGAGCAAACCTTGTTTCGCAACACAAATGACTCTTACGACATCGTTATCATCAAGGCATAATGACTAATAAGTTCACGGTGAATATGAAACGGAGAAAACCCGAAAAATTAAAAAAAATACAGATGTGCTTAGATTGTTCAATGTAAAAGAGAAGGAGAATAGCACACCTTATACACTGGAGCTGATATTACAGACTCTGATCCCAATAAAGCATCCAGAATTCCTTTCTTTCATTAAGGACAGTAATAAGTCCATAGCACTGTACGAACCTTCCATATGTGCAAGCTGGCCTACGTCCATGCTTAGTAGTTTCTGTGGTTTTTACTGTAATAATGTAGGTTACATTTTAAAAGGAGCATGAGAGTCTTTAAGAGAGCAAGTGAAGAGAGAGAGACAAGTTACAATTAGGGTAGTAAAATAGTTGTTTCAAATCTCAAGCTCTCCCTCCATTCAACAGCTGGCTGCTTCTTGCACTCTCCTTTCACAGTAATGCAGGGCACAAAGGACGCCAGGAAGCCCAAGCTTCTAAAGATCCACACAACACAAAAATAAACTGAATTCAAATCTTGTGCAAACTCATAAGGATGCATTTTGATATGATGACGAGTATCAAACAAAGGATATTGATCCAGTTGTAATCGACAAGATAAAAGATTACCAATTTCTATCCAAATTAAGATTTGATGCTAAGGAAACATGATTGAAGTTGAAGAATGATACTGATCCACGCATGAGTTTTGGTTGAAATCCCAATTCTGCATGTACAAAGATAACACCAAAACAACTTAAGAATAAATATAAGCAACAAATGTCAAGTTTTCAACTGATGGTAAAATGTTTGGAATTGAAGATTCATTTACCTAATCAATAGTGTGGGTACACTCTGTTCGTCAAGTTACTCGAGGTTTCAATCACAGAGAAAAGTGAACTGAATTCAAATCTCTCTGCATACAATTTAAATATTTGTAATCATAAAAATCTCAGTCCAAAATCTTTATAAGAATAATAACTATTTATTTTATGGAAGATTCAAAGACAAAGCAATTCCAGTTATTTTGCCCACTTTCCTCGTTATGCAAGAATCAGATGAATAAGGAAAGTGCTACAATTTTCATCAGGATAAAAAGTCATTAATCCGTAATTTTAATCTCATTTGAACACACCAATAACAATATCACTCTCGATAATTTTCACTGAATCCCCCAAAAAGTCCCAAAATCTTGAATGTTCTGCTAGGAAAGACACAAAAATCAACAGTAATATCATTCTCGATAATTTCAGCAATAATATGGGTACTCAACAGTGCATCAAGTTACTGAGCGATATCAACTGCAGACACAAAATCAATAGTATTCAAATCACTGTGCATACAATTCAGATTTTACAAGTAGCCCCAAAACTATTAGTCCAAACTTCATAAGAAAGCAATTACAACAGTTCTACATATTATATCAACATTGTTATCGTGAAAACAAGTCTTGATTTGCTCATTGTGTAGGAACCAACAGAATAGGCGAACTGCAAGAGACTAATGCAACAAATGTGATAAATCTACCACTACTGTTGTGATCAGGATTAAATTTCAAGAGCTGATAATTTTAAGATAACAATCTGCCCAGAAGAAAAATTCCACTTAAAAAGTTTTGGAGCAAAACATTGTGATTCAGAATGAGAACTAGTATGGGCCTGTGTAACTAAAATGGATCAACTGATGGTTGAACAACCAAATCCGCTTAGATTGGCAATTCAGAATTTACATGCTAGCTTGAAAAGGATTGTAAGGATGAAACAATATCTAAACCAACAAACACTACTTTTTGGGAAAAACATATCTTGTGCATCAGTACCTGGACTCCGTTTGCACCTACCGCACTACATTGTTCCAGTTGAGTAAGAGCGTCATGAAAAATGCCAAGGGATGCTAAAAGAGTTAAATATGCCTATTGGAAACACAACATATATAGTAAGTCAACTTAATTACTAGAAGAGCAAAGGAGATAAAGAGTTTGAAAAACTTACATTGCTTAATTCACTGCGACAGTAAACTGCGGACGCATTGCATAACTTTGGCAGAGGGTTGATTCATCAAATTCTTATAGTTCCTAATCCCAGCTCGATAAGGGATGTTAGGTCACCCAACAAGTCTTTGTAAGAAGTGAAGTGTTAAGCCTCCACTCCCTCAAGTGGTTGATACATAAAGCAGTTAAAGAAGTGAAGTGTTTAATTTGATGGGACAGAGACTTGAGCTTTGGCCACCCTTTAAAATGTAACGATTCAAGCTACCATGATCAACCTTGAACATCAGGAATGGAATTGAGCTCCTCCCAGAACCCACCGAAGGTGAAGTTTATCCATTTCGGGTTTGTAGACCTTTCCACGATTTCTTAAATTTGCCAAATTATAAAATCCCTAACTTAGCATTGCATCTGATGTTCTTTACCCAATTTCTGCAATAATGCAGGTATTTGACAGTTCATCAAGTTACCCAAGGGTTATGAAATAACGATTAAATTGTCAACTGAATTCAAATCACTGTTCATACGATTAAAAAATATGTTAAAAAATCACAAGTAAACATAAAAATATCAGCCCAAAATCTTTGTAAGAATAATAATAGACGGAAAGCAATTGCAGTAAATCTATATTATATTATATGAAAATGGTTTTACATGATCACAAATCTTGGCATAACTCTTCCAAGTTTCTAACAAGATTTGAATACCATGAACGGGTTATTAAGCTAGTGGTTCAGCAATCCTACAGATGAACTAAGAAACTTAACATATCGAATTGATGTTGCCAGAACTAAGAAAGATATATGTAAAGGAGAATGCCCACATGGTACCAAAAAAAGAGGATGGCTAGCTTGGTAAGGATTAAAAAAATGAAGGCAGAGCGAGAAATTTAATATACTGTGCATAAGTACCTGGACCAAGTTTGCACTTACTGAGCATCCTGAAAAACACCACAGCATGCCAAAAGAAATATAGATGCCACTAGAAAACACAACATATATAGTAAGTCAGAAGTCAACAGTACAATGCACTGATCAATTAGAAGTGAAGGGAAGAGGAGGTGCGGGAAAGTTAACATATATGGTCAATCTTTTGTTCATATAGAAAAAGTAATTTACCCACTTTTGGTTATGATACACTTCATTTCAGCTTTGGCTGCTGCAAAGCCTATGCTGATGTCCTCCACCACAACACAACTGCAGAAAAAGGAAAGACGTTATTTTTACAGACTCTCATCCCCAATAAAGCGTACAGAATTTCTTGTGTTCATTAAAGACAGCACTAAGTCCGTACAGAATTTTTACTATAATAATGTAGGTTACATTTTAAAAGGAGCATGAGAGAGTCTTTTAGAGAGCAAGTGAAGAGAGAAAGAGAGTTTCAAATTAGGGTAGTACAAAGGTTTTTTCACTTCCAATCTCAAGCTCTCCCTCTATTCAACAGCTGGCTGCTTCTTGCACTCTCCTTCCGAACCAATGCAGGGCACAAAGGATGCTAGGAAGCCCAAGCTTCTAAAGATTCACACAACAGCAAAAATCAACTGAATTCAAATTTCTGTGAAAACTCGAAAGGATGCATTTCAATTTGGCGACGAGTATCAAACAAAGAATATTGATACGGTTGTAGTCGACAAGATAAAAGATTACCAATTTGTATCCAAATTAAGATTTGATGATAAGGAAACATGGTTGAAGTTGAAAAATGAGATTGATCCATGCATGCGTTTTGATAGAAATCCCAATTCTGCATGTACAAAGATAACACCAAAACAACTTAAGAACAAATATAAACAACAAATTTCAAGTTTTCAACTGATGGTAAAATGTTTGGAACCAATGGAATAAGCAAACTGCAAGAGATGGAAGCAACAAATGCGATAAATCTTCCACTACCATTGTGATCAGGATAAAAAGTTATTAGCATGCAATGGCTGAAAGGATGAAATCATGAAACAAAATCTAAAACAACAAACACCATATTTCTGGAAAAACATATCTTGTGCATCATTACCTGGACTCTGCTTGTACCTACTGCACTACATCGTTCCAGTTGCGTAATTTCAATCCAAGTATTGTCTCAGAATACTGATCATTTAAGAGAAGAGGGAGACACTGAATAAAAGAACAAAGGATATAAACATATAACGTCAGCTCTGTAATTTGATTTCAATAATTTAAAAAACTTACTTCTGAAGTTTGGAATGTGAGAAATCTTAGGCCAATATGTGCTACTTTTGACACCAAACGATAATAGCTTTGCGCATCCTCTTATCCACAATTCCTGAAGAGATGGACATTGTTGTGGAAGAACAGGTATGCTTATACTAGTTGTCTCCGCCCCAAACTGATATAAAAGGAGAGCGAGAAGGATAAAGAAATTATGTTATACTAGTTTAAATTTGAGTGTAGTACTAGTGGAGACACGAAATAAAAGAAGAAACGTTGGCTCTTTAATTTGATTTCAATAATTTAAAACTTACTTCTGAAATCTGGAATGTGAGAAATCTTAGGCCAATCTGTGCCGCTGTCCCTCCTGCATCTTTCCTCTAGAAGGGGATGGCATCTAATAATATGGAGAGATTGTATTTTGGTGAGGCGTTGCATAGTCTTCAGATTCTTGCAATAATAAATCCTCAGGTGTGTAAGGGATGTAAGGCTACCCAACCATTCTGGCAAAGTCTCCACTCCCTCAAATGAAGATATCCACAAATATGTTAGAGAAGTGAGGTGTTGAATTTGTTGAGGCAGAGACTTGAGCTTAGGCCAACCATACAAGACTAAGCTTGTAAGATGCATTAATGATCCAACTTCAAAATCAGGGAAGGAATCGAGCTCCTCCCAGAACCCACCGATAGTCAATGTCTCCAAGCCATTGGGCCACTGTAGCCCCGTTGGCAGATATTTTAGGTTTCGCCAATTTAAAATCACCAAAGTACGGAGAGAATGGAGGTGGTCTAAACTTGGAAGAATGTGTAAATTAGGCATATCCCCTATTGACAGAGTCTCAAGAGAGAGTGGGAATTGTAGGCTGCTCACCCAACTTCCTAATCTTTCACAATTTACAATCCTCAGAAGTCGAAGGGAGGTCATGGTGCGCAAGTCTGAAGTAGATTGTAGGCTAATGCACTCCTCCTCCTTCTCAGCTCTGCTACTTTTGACACCAAACGATGATAGCTTTGGGCAATTATATATCTCCAATTCCTGAAGAGAGGGACATTGTATGCTTGATAAATCACGGCACCCAATGATTGTCAATTTCTGAAGAGAGTCGGTGAGGGACCCGCTGCCTTTAATTTCAATTGATGTGAGATTATTGCAATTCTCTATACTCACTTCCACGAGAGAGGCCCATAAACTCAATGGGCTTGATAATCCATTGCATTCCCATATTCTCAATTTCTGGAGAGAGGTGCACTTCTTTAACCCACTCGGTAGGTGTGACAATCGTCCACAATATTCAATCTCTAATTTCTGTAAATAGGCCATGCCCTGTTCAATTTGAATCAACTCTAGACTAGGACATCCCTTGATAGTCAGTTCCTCAAGGAGAGGGAGGGTGTCTAGCCCATACGCCAAATGCCTCAGGTTTTTACAATTCGAAATAACTAATCCTTTAAGAGAACCGCAAGAACCAACTACATCTGGGGTAATACAAGTTAAATCATCGCAATTCTTTATAACCAAAGAATGGAGATTATTATTCTTCTTCAAAATCCCTGGCGGCAAACAAGTAAGCTCCTTAATACCACTTATTTCGAGAGAAGTGAGAGTTGTTAATCCATTGCTCATTTCTTCTATTGGTGTTCTGCTATCACAAGAAGACATCTCCAACTTTTGGAGAAATGGAAAATGACTCGGAGCATTTCTCAATTTGCAACAATTTTTGACGGTCAACTTCTCAAGACAAGGAAAAACCACAACTTTTTTTCTTGACATTGTTGGTGCTTGCTTCCATTCATTTAGATCACCACACTCAAAAATATATAATACTTTTAGCGCTGGAAATAAAGTAATTATCTCCTCACTTGTCGTGGCTACATTGTGGATAAGATCATAACCATAGAACTCAGCTCCAACACATTTCAAGTTAGCCATTCCTCCAATAATAAGCTCCGTAAGATTGGGTAGATGACCGAGCGGTGGGACTACTTTACATTTGTTGCATTCACTTAACTTAATCTTCTTCAAGTTGTTGAGCAACCCACTCATCATCCACGTTGGAAACTTATCGCCCATGAAGTTTTCAATACTTAAGCTTTCCAACTCAAGATGTGGTCGAAGGCCTTCTAGGACATCTTCCTCCACGTTGTTGTTAGTTGTTGACCTATCTTCAGTCCAATTGAAGCTCACATGGCGTACTTTCGTCTTATCCTCTAACTTAGCTTTCTTTGCTTCTTCTCCATTCTTTACGTGCTTCAAATTACAAACAATTAATTCACCCTTCAATTGTTTCAAGCCAGCCAACTCTTCAATTCGACGACCAATCTCATTACCCACCGGAAAGTAAGGTAATGTTCGAAGGCAAGTCAACCGTCCTATCCCTTGTGGGAATTTGATATCCTCATCAAAATAGATATGTCTCAGGTTGATCAAGTTTTGCAGTTCTTTCGGAAACTCTTCAAGGGCACAATTCACTGCTCTTAATGTCTGAAGGTTATAGAGCTTGCCTAGAGATTTGGGGAGTGCTTTGAATCTTGTTTTAGAAATGTCAAGATACCTTAAGTGTTTCAGCCTACCAACTGAAACTGGAAGTTCTTCAATATTAGCATTCCATAAATTCAAGACGCGTAAAGCTTTGAACCGTGGAAGAATGTTAGCAGGAACTTCACTGTTGTTGGAAAACAGTGACCGCAATTTCCAAGCACTTCTTGCTGAAATATTTTCCAGTGTAGAAGTAGAAACCCAAGCAACATGTCGAATCTCAAGTGTATTATCTCTGCCACATAAGTCTCCCATCAAGCTTTCAGATTTGGACACAAGTTCTGCCAAATCGTGCACAAGATCATGCATCTTGCATTTGGTAACAATGCCATTGTCACCCATCATAGCATCTTGAAACAAGGAGCTCTGCAATAGAATATCAAAATACTCATTGCCTGTGTCCTCCATATCTTTACTTTCGTCATGCGAAGCTCGGAGTAGTCCTTGAGCCATCCAAAGTTGAATCAAGTTGTCTCTTTGAATTTCTAAGTCTTTCTCGAATATTGAGCAATATGCAAAACATTGCTTCAATGATGATGATTCTAAATTGTCAAAACTCAACCTCAGGACTGGCATAATACTACTATCTTCTTCTTTTAATAGGTTGTTCCATATTTTATTGTTTTTCAACGATGACCATTCTTCAATACTTCTTTTAGTTTGCAAAATGCCTCCCAAAACCTGTTAATTGGATTAGAGAGTTTCTATGACATAATTATCTACGGGGTATAGTAGTTCAACTGAAGTTGATGGAAAAGAAAAAGAAAAACAGGGAATAGTTTCATTTAATTTCAAGAAAAACTGGGAGTAGTTTAGATCTAAATTGACTTTAAACTTTAAACTATTAGATTGGAGATGCCCTAACAAAATACCAATTTAAGTCATAACAAAATAATTCATCCAATAACAATGCAAATGCTTTAAACCGCTTCAACTAATTTAACTGATTTTTACTAGACTTGTTCCTTTTTCTAAAGTTTTTATCCCTCTAGGAAGACCAATGTAAATTGAATCTTCAAATTCGAACACAATTCATCATTTTGCAAATAATATAACTAAAATTCAAGGGGCTTAGACCTGTTTGTTTACTACCAAACAAATGAATTTGAACGACAACCATGAAAATGAACGGTTCCATATTATACTGTTTTTCAAATGACAATCATTCTTCAATACTTTTTTTGGTGTGCAAAATGCCTCCTAAAACATGCTAATTGGATTAGTGAGTTTCAAAGGTGTCCGAAAACAGTGTAGAAAATCGAGACTTGTATAAAATTTGGAAGTTTTGGCTTCCTTAATTATGAATCCCCTTGCCTAAAAGGACAAAATCTAAGCCATGTGCAAAATTATATATTAGCTTCCATTATTTTTGGTGTTTGACGTATTTCCCAAAGTACCCATTAAGTAGTTAAAACTTAAAAACATGTTTTATTCTTGATTTGTTGGGATAATGAATTAATTTTATAGGATATTTGGCCAATGGTCAATAAAAACTTTACTAATTAGCCATATATCAATGGATAATTTTATTTTTAGACATAATTAATGAAATATTTATAGTAATTATGCATAGGTCAATAGAGCATGCCACGAGCTAGTTATAAACTGACTATTATACCCTTCTCTCTTCACTTTATTTCATTCCTTATCTCTTTCACTCTCCTTATTTACTTCATTTTCTCCCAATTTTCTATCATGTCTCTATCTCCCCTTCTTTCTCTTCACTCTCTCATGTTTATCTCTCCTATCCATGCCTCTCTATCTTTCATTCTCTTCCATCAAACCTGAACAAATAGTTCGATTAATCCCAGTGCTCTGAAACTTCCCCATTACCAAACACAATCACAATGGCGAGAGGAAAAAATGAAATTCCAAAAAAAGTGCAACAATCGGCAGCAAAAACAAAACGCAAGCAAAAAATAAAAAATAAAAAAAAATAAAAAAAGTGATGTAATAGATATCCAGCAAATCTTCAAAGGCTTTGGACATGAAGATTGTCTTAAGGGTAGTGTCCATCAAAATCCTCTTGAATTAAAAGTGCGTTTGCAAAGAGTTTTGCAGTTTGCAATTCAAAATCAAGAAACAGACACGTCGTGTGTTTAAATTTAAATATAAAAGGTTGCACAAGTGCAAAGCATAGGAAATGAAAAAAAAAACCAGAAAACAGACACTGCAACATAGTGTCTAAATCACAACGTAAAAAGAAAAGAAGAAAAAAAAAAGAATCAGGAAACAAACACTGCATTATAGTGTCTGAATAAAAATATAAAAAACAGAACCAGGAAACGAACATTGCATTGTAGTATTTGAGTCTAAATGTAAAAATAATATAAAAAACAGAGCAAGAAACGAACATAGTGTCTAAATCCAAATGTAAAAATTAGGAGTTGTGTGAGGTGTGAAAAATAAGAGGTGTGTGTGATAAAAAAAAAACAAAAAAAAACCAGAAAACTAACACTGTAACGCAATGCCTGAATCCAATAAAACCAGAATCAGAACATAGACATTTCGTTACAGTGTCTAAATCCGTATTGACTTATTCCAAAATATGAAAATATGAGAAAATGATTGTCATTTAAAGTGGATGCCAGCTGTAATAGCACATTTTGTAATTGTTGTTTATCTTAAATGTATTTAAGTATCACAATACATGATTGATGTATTTATAATTAACAAAAATATGATTGATATATTGTTAATATTGTAACTTTTTATTGATTTTATACCAAATCACCCAAATTTTATCTAGTTTCTGCCTCGTTCAAATCAATAAGTTGCTATTGTTGGTTTTTGGAAAAAAAAAAAAAAAAAAAGGTTAGAGACACCACATTTTGTATACTATATAATGTATAAGTGATGTGTATGTGGTGATATGTCAATTAATAATTTTAGTGAAATTTTCACACCATCTAAAAGGTCTTTCTACGCAATTGTACTTTAAAAATTCAAATTCAATTCAACCATTTTCAAATAATATAAAATAGGTGCAAATCTCACGTTATATATAATAATACATACCTTTGCCACCAATGGAACACCACCGCAATTTTCAGCAATCTCCCTTCCAATTGTATCAAACTTAGGATCAATGTTATTGGTGAAAGCTCTATTTTTCATGATGGACCAACATTCATCCACAGAAAGTTTTCCCAATTCATGTCGCGGAAGTAGCTTTTCTGAGATTGATGCGACTTCATCTTCGCGAGTGGTGACAATAATTTTGGAGCCTTTAGTAGAACTAAGCTTTGCCAAACATTCCATGAAACTCTCCCATAGTTTGGAATTTTTGTTCCAAACGTCATCAAGTACGAGTAAGTATTTTTTATCTTTCAACTCTTCATCAAGGGACAAAAGCAGAGTATGCTGATTATCTTTAGAAGGGGCTTTTGCCCGATTAAGCTGTTCTGACATTTGATGTAGGATGAAATTGACGTCAAAAGCGTCGGATACACAAATCCAAATTTTTTTTTCAAAAAACTTGTGTATCGAATCCTCATTGTAAACTGACTTGGCCAATGTTGTTTTTCCGAGGCCTCCCATACCCACAATCGCCATGACCGCAAGATTTTCTTGATTGTATTTGGAGTCGGTCAAGGTTGTGACTATTTTTGACACATCAGCTTTCCTTCCAACGGGTATTTCATCTTTGCCAAAGAATGCGTTGGTTTGTCTATCCCATCTAATCCCCTGAGAGGTTGCATCTGTATTCCTGGAAACTAGTCCAAAAGTAGATGCTTCACTCCTGAGATCCACCAAGGATGCATTGATCTTCTGGATTTTACGCGCCATTTGAAGACGAAATGCAAGTGGATTGGAGATTGAAAAGAAGTTCAGAACCTTTCTCTTCATATGGTTTTGGATTTCGACTTTACGCCGATCAACTTCGTACTTGAATTCATCCAAGACATCCTCAGCATCTTCAGCTACGCCTTTGAGTTTCTTCACCCATTCCTCTATTGCCGGAGCTGTTAGAGAATGAAAACAAGTTAAAATACCTTATCATTGTAGCATTTGTGCGAGAGATTATAAGAGAATTCAAAAATATATACTACCTTGTGGTTTGTGGGCAACATCATTCAATAAAAGTTCAATGGTAGTGAATGACTCTCTAAGCTTTCGAAGTTCAGCTTTGAAACCCCATGCAAGACAGAATTGTTTCTCAGCAAGTGAAAGCACCTTTTCCAGTATTCCCTTCGCAGCAAAAGTAAGCACAGCTTCAGCTGCCATTCCTACAATTCCCCTACTCCACTCAGCTCAGCTAATCACAGTGTTTATCTTCTCTCTTAAATTACAATGACAATTCAAGAGCAATGGAAAATGATATGATAGACAACAGATGCCGGTAGGTTTATGTTCTTTGTATAAGGTGAAAAAGTGGTGCATCGTCCAAATAATTGATGATAGATAATAATTGAATGAGATATTATTCCTATCAGAAACAAATAATTGAGGATAGAGTTACTTTAGACGTGGCTCCTCCTTGTTCACTTGTTCGGTTGTGCGAAAAATTTAACGTCAAAAAGAGGGTGCTGCATGCAATAATTGAGGGGTACATTCCCAAAAGAATTTGGATCCTCTTCTAGCTAATGGAAAGGATTCTCCTCATCAATCATCCTGAACCGTTAAATTTTTATCTAATGGTTATAAACAAGGGGTCTCTTTAAAGTTATAATGATTGTAGCCGTTGGATAAAATTCAACAGTTCAAGATGATTGATGAGGAGGATCCTCTTCATTAGCTCAGGAGAGGATCCAAATTCATTCCTAAAAAGGATTCTCTCTGGATTCATTACGTGAGAATTTAGAGATTTTCATCTTTCAGCTGTTTATTATGTATCGTGCAATCAATTTTTATCAAATACTAAAAATCAAATAATTTTTAACTTCACAATACACGAGAAACTGTTGAAATATGAAGATTCTTATATCCCCATGTAATGGATCCGGAAGAGATCCTTTTTCACAAAATTACTTTTTATAAAGTAATTATCACCTTCCGTCCAAATAATTGATGATCGAGATATAAGTAAATTATCTGCTGAGATGTCTAAGTCTGCCCTCCTATAATAATAAAAGGTAAATTTAAAGAAGTTTTAACGAAAAACTTACTATACTATTTATTTTAACAAAAAAATTATATTTTTATATTAAAAAATCAATCTTATTACTATTCACTTTACCCTTTATTTTATCCTTATTATTAAAACTCAAAATTTTTAAATTTTTTTCATTAGTTTCCTTAAATTTAAAACCATCCTGCAATACTTTGGCTGGCTTAAGGCTTGAAGACTAAAAATGCCTGGTTAACACATCCCCACTGTCATTGAGTTGAGAGAAACTTTCCTGTAATTAAGTTGTCATTATGTCAATATCCCAAGTAAATCGAGCACTACCATGCGGACTAGTAATAAACACATCGCAATGCTTAATTGGGTAGGGATAATACCACCACATCTGTGAAGAAAATATGAATGGCAAAATTGCTGCAAACTGTGCCATCTCTACAAACAGTAAGAATGGAACGTAAATTTCAGTATACTTTGTTACAGTTTTCCCTAAACAGTTCTCCAACTAAAAATCACCCACATTATCCGAAAGACAAAGAAAATAAAACAATTCCATGGCTCGATATCATACATCATCACCGCAATAATTCGGAATGTCGTAAAAGGCATCCCTACATTGAGCTGCAATTGTTCAAAGGAACCAATACCTCCCGATGCGGCTTGTGTGGTGATTGTGACCAAATTAAACATAACAGAACATTTTTAATCAACCAGAGCAACAGAACTACTATATGAGCTTCCAGCACCGATCATTTGTAGAATTCAAAGTCAGTGTCGGGCTTCTTCACGTGTCCGATGTCTCTTGACCATTGCTGCTGTTCGCAGCTGGTCTCTTCACCAAATGGATGTCCAAAATGCTTTCCTTCACGGTGCACTGCATGAGGAAGTCTATATGTTACCACCTCCTGGTTATCGTCGACAGGGGGAGACTATGGTTCGTCGACTTCACAAGTCATTATACGGACTCAAACAAGCATCTCGTAGCTGGTTCCAACGTCAGGAAAAAGAGCGTCCCGCACCACGAAATATAAAACTTAACTATCCTCTATTAGAAGGTCAGTGATTACATCAGGAGATTCCTCGAACTAAACTCGTCGCTGTTCTAGAGTGAGTCCCAATTGCGCCAATCTGTGAGCAACCTTGTTTGTCTCCCTGCAAGCATGCTTGAGTTTGGTTTGTGGAGTCGAGCGCAGGAAGTAGCGCTCCTCATTTACCATACTATCCATCAACGACATGTCATCTTAGATTTAGCGCAGCAAGGACCAACGCTGCATCTCCTTCAAGTTCCACCAGTTCCTTGTTTAACTCTCGCACAAGCAAGATTGCAGCACGTGCTACCTCTATTTCTGCCAACAACGGTGAAGAGATGCCGTCCAGTTTCATAGCCAGCGCCGCCACAAACTGACCTGTGTCGTTTCTTAGCACCACTCCAATTCCCCCTCTATCTTCCTCTTCCTTCCATGCCCCATCAAAACTGCAATTTACGAGTGTTAGATGTCATCAGAAGATAAAGAATCCCTTTTTTTTTTAATCAAACAACAATATAATATCTATTCCAGCATTGCTATCATGGAGAAATATTGTTTCGAAAATATTAATAAAAAATGAAAATGAAAGAGCGAGAAACAATGACCTCAGCTCAAACCAACTTTGAATCTCAAGAGAGAAACGATCAAAGCAGAAGAAAGCCCTTGTAATAATTCACCATCCAGAGATTCACCAATTCACCGATGAAAACTTAGTCTGCTTAAGAAGAGCTAACTTGTACTTCAACCGGAATATCAATATTCAACCGAATGCATGCTGGTCTATTATCTTAGCTGAAACCCTAATCACCATCCAAGGTGTAAATGAAGGATCGGCATTGAATGAAATTTATGTCACAAACTGTTACTGTTTGACAAAGGCTTCTGCGGAATCCCAAGTCAAATCGCTCCTCCGAGGAATTTCCAAAGAAGTCAAAGACTGCATCTGCTTTTTGAAATTCTTCTTCAGCTGAGTACCTGAAATTGAAGTTGTAAGAGATGAAGGGATCGTGTTTATCATTTGATTGCCTAAAAATTTGAAATATATGACTAGCAAGGATTACACTCAACTCATGCTAATAACCTTTCTATCAAATTTGAAGTATAATTTGTCTATCGAATCCTCATTGTAAACTGACTTGGCCAATGTTGTCTTTCCGAGGCCTCCCATACCCACAATCGCCATGACCGCAAGATTTTCTTTACTGTATTTGGAGTCGGTCAAGGTTGTGACTATTTTTGACACATCAGCTTTCCGTCCAACGGGTATTTCATCTTTGCCAAAGAATGCGTTGGTTTGTCTGTCCCATCTAATCCCCTGAGAGGTTGCATCTTTATTCTTGGAAACTAGTCCAAGAAGAGATGCGTCACTCTTGAGATCCACCAAGGATGCATTGATCTTCTGAATTTTACGCGCCATTTGAAGACGAAATGCAAGTGGATTGGAGATTGAAAAGAAGTTAAGAACCTTTTTCTTCATATGGTTTCGGATTTCGACTTTACGCCGATATCCTTCGTACTCGAGTTCATCGAAGACATCCTCAGCATCATGAGCTACGTCTTTGAGTTTCTTCACCCATGCCTCTATTAACGGATCTGTTGGAGAATGAAAACTAGTTATATACCTTGTCATTGTGGCATGTATGTGCGAGATTATACGACAATTCAAAAGTATAAACTACCTTGTGGTTTGTCGGCAACATTATTCAACAAACGTTCAATGCTGGTGAATGAGTCTCGAAGCTTTCGGAGTTCAGCTTTGAAACCCCATGCAAGACTGAATGGTTGAGCAGCAAGTGAAAGCACCTTGTTCAGTATTCCCTCCGCAGCAAAAGTAAGCACAACTTCAGCTGCCATTCCTTCAACTCCCTACTCAACTCAGCTCAGCTAATCAGAGTGTTTAACTTCTCTCTTCGATACAAGTTACGATTACAATTCAGGAGCAGTGGAAAATGATATGATCGACAACAGATGCCGGTGGGTTTAACTTTTTATGACGTGAAAAAGATTGTGCATCGTCCAAATAATTGATGATAGATAATAATTGAATGAGATATTATTCCTATCAGAAACAAATAATTGAGGATAGATTTACTTTAGACGTGGCTCTTCCTTGTTCACTGGTTCGGTTGTGTGACAAATTTAACGTAAGAAACATGGTGCTGCATGTAATAATTGAAACGATTTTTCATTGTGATTGAAATATGAGATGGTATATCATGTGTTATTATATAAATAATAGAATATATATGTTAAAAAATTAAATTTTTTACTATTTATATAATAATATATAGTGTACCATTTATATTCCAGATGAACAATTCCTCCCATAATTGAGGGGTACATTCGTTTCAGAAAAAATTACTTCTTATAAAGTAATTATCTCCTTCCGTTGCTTTTGAGTGCTCAAAAGTACTTTTAACATTTTGAGTGCTGGAATCGATACGTGTCTGGTTCATTTTTTCTTTTCAAATTTTGTCTTTTACTAAATTGTTTTTTTTCTTTAACTTTTTTTTCTTGTTGTCTTTACAGTAAGTAGTGCCTTATCTTTTCGTTATCGACGTAAAGCTGCGTTTTTTTATATTAAATAATCATGAAAAAGGAATTGTGCTTTCATAAGAAAACAACAGCACGTAGTCTATGCATATAGTTAAAAATAATATCAATCAATAATTCTAAATTTAATCCCCAGTACTCCTTTTTCTATCTATACTTCTATTTTTTTTTAAATTAAAGAAAAAAATTTGAAAACTTTGAGTTTTAATAATAAAGATAAAATAAATGATAAAGTAAATATTACTATAATTAACTTTTTAATGTAAAAATATAATTTTTTTTTAATTGAACAATACCGTAAAATTTTTGTTAAAATTTTATTTTTTAAACTTAAATTCTCATCATTTCTTTCTTTGTGAGGACAGTTGGATCGCACAACGCTTTTTTTATTGTTCAAATCAATAATGGAGGGGTAGTTTCCTGTAATAAAAAGTCATTGACGACAAACTTACTTTAGAGGTGGCTCCACCTCCTTCCGTGACTCGATTATGTTGGATTACTAAACAGTTTTTAGTAAACATACTAGTTTATATTTCAATTCTGTTGAATTAGTAAACAATTTTATAGAATTTTATTCCGATTTCAAAATATTTAAGTAAATAACTTCAACAGAAATTCGATTCTGACTTCTCCTTAATCTAACTCTTCTTCAATTTAATTCCTCCTTAATTCAATTCCTTATATTTTCATAAATGCGCTATAAATTTAAACCCTAACACTCCTTTTTCTATCTATACCCCCATTTTTTAAACTTAAATTCTCATCCTTTCTTTCTCTGTAGGCCAGTTGGATCGCACAACACTTTTTTTCTTGATCAAATCAATAATGGAGGGGTGGTTACCTGTAATAAAAAGTCATTGAGGACTAACTTACTTTAGACTGGCTCCACCTCCTTCAGTGACTCGATTGTGTTCGATTACTAAACAGTATATTAGTAAATAATTTTATAGAATTCTATTTCGATTCTAAAATATTTAAGTAAAAAGCTTCAACAGAAATCTAATTCTGACTTCTTCTCATTCTAATTCCTCTTCAATTCAATTCATTCTCAATTCAATTTCTTATATTTTCATTATCGTCGCATAAATGCACTATAAATTTAATCCCTATTACTCCTATTTCTATCTATACCCCCATTTTTTAAATTTATATTCTCACCCCTTTTTCTCTGTAGGACAGTTGGATCGCACAACACTTTTTTTCTTGTTCAAATCAATAATGGAGGGGTAGTTTCATGTAATAAAAAGTCATTGAGGACAAAGTTACTTTAGAGGTGGCTCCACCTCCTTCAGTGACTCTATTGTGTTGGATTAGTAAACATCTTTTAATAAACATAATAAATACGAGTCGGTAAGCCACGTAACATAATAAAAGTATAGTAGTATGCATTTTTCAGCCTTTTTTTGTTATCAGTTTGGATTCTGATACACTAAAAAACTTCCCGTCTTGATTAAGTTCGCCCTCATTTTCAGCAGTTTCTACATCCTTGCTTGATAAATTGGCAATCGTGAATTTAAAAAAGAAAAAAAAAATATATATATATATATATATATATATTTGTGAAGAGTAACCGTGCTGGCAATGGTAAAATAGGTGGAGTTGACAAAGACAATTACTATTCAAAATAAATGATAACTGTCATTGGGCTGCCCTTGCCCGATGGGTGGAAATGGTTTTAATGTAGATAATATCTTATATATCTAACAAAAAAAACTTACACATGCTACTACATTATTAAATGAGATACCACGTGTGAGAGAATCCTATTCCATTCCATGTAAGTTTGCTCTCCTATAATCAAAGATAAATTTAAAACCATACTGCAATACTTTGGCTTAAGGCTTGAAGACTAAAAATGTCTGGTTAACACATCCCCACTGTCATTGAGTTGAGAGAAACTTTCTTGTAATTAAGATGTCATTATGTCGATATCCCAAATAAATCGAGCACTACCATGTGGACTAGTAATAAACACATCGCAATGCTTAATTGGGTAGGGATAATACCCCAACATCTGTGCCGAAAATATGAATAGCAAAGTGCTGCAAACTGTGCCATCTCTACAAACAGTAAGAATGGAACGTAAATTTCAGTATACTTTGTTACAGTTTTCCCTAAACAATTCTCCAACTAAAAATCACCCACATTATCCGAAAGACAAAGAAAATAAAACAATTCCATGGCTCGATATCATACATCATCACCGCAATAATTCGGAATGTCGTAAAAGGCATCCCTACATTGAGCTGCAATTGTTCAAAGGAACCAATACCTCCCGATGCGGCTTGCGTGGTGATTGTGACCAAATTAAACATAACAGAACATTTTTTAATCAACCAGAGAAACAGAACTACCATATGAGCTTCCAGCACCGATCATTTGTAGAATTCAAAGTCAGTGTCGGGCTTCTTCACGTTGGTTTGGTAACCCTTCTCAAAGTCCTTTGGGAGTATGTCATACCGGTTCTTCCGGACTGCATGCATTCCTGCTTCTTGACATATAGCAGAAATCTGTACAAATCGAACCATTTACAACAGTTACTAAAGACTCAATTTTTATAAGGAAAGACTAGAGATCTGAGACCACCATAAAGCATCAATATCTTTACGCTCGGACACAGAATACTGCAGGTGAAGTCAAATAAGAGAACTCATATTCAAATTTATGGCCATTCGTATTGAGGTCTTTGTTATCAACCATTAAAAGGCTAAATCCAACCCCATTTGACGATGGTAAAGTCTCCAACGCTAGCAACATATACAGATCCGTCCCATATAAAACATGTATATTCTTAAGAATCTTAACACCATAATTCTTCTAAACAACTGTATGTCTAACACCTTGACTGTTAAAAAGAACATGTATATTTCTATCGCCATAATTGTTCTAACCTTTAAGCAAATATTAGTATTTCAAGATAATAGCACAATCCCAACAGCATAACAGTAACAGGATTTAACGTTGGTAGAAGAATTAAAACTATAAGCATATTCTCTCCCAAAAGAAATTAATGTCTCACCTCAGCAGCACTGATTTTGTCTGGCCGAGAGACATAATCTTCCAAGTCTACCTCATCACTCAAGTTCATTTTAGCAGTGCAAACCTGCAAGACAAGCGGGTACATTAACATTATATTGTTTGCTATAGCTTGCAAAAAATCCACATGAGTAAGACATCACAATTTCAGGAGAAAATATAGAAGACAACAAGAGTAAGACATCACAATTGCAAGAGAAAATATAGACGAAATGGTAAATAGAAATCTGATGCCAAGTTTCATAACTATGGTAAGACGTAAGGTTGACATAGGATTAAATGGGATAATCTCATGTAGACATTGGGTGCAGGTGTGTTTTGACCTGCCCAACTCCTGTTCAGTCCAAAATTAAGATATAAAGGGAAGTAACTGGTCAACTGATATGGATGGCACAGCACGGACACCGCAGAAGCTACAAATCTTATGCTAATGAGAAAAAGGAATACTTCACAGCTTACAAACAACATTCTACGAGTAATAATTCTTTCGTTGAAAGATACTTAAATATGTTATTTTACCTGGAAAACAAGTCTTTTCTGCCTCCTATCGGACAAAGGAAACTCAATCTTTGGATCAAGCCTTCCAGGACGTAGAAGTACAGGATCCAAGGTGTCTGCTCGGTTAGTAGCCATAATAACCTTAACATTCACTGTCTGGTCAAACCCATCCATCTGCAAAAGATATCAAGCCCAAATCAACTTTCCTTCACGGTGCACTGCATGAGGAAGTCTATATGTTACCACCTCTTGGTTATCGTTGACAGAGGGAGACTATGGTTTGTCGACTTCACAAGTCATTATACGGACTCAAACAAGCATCTCGCAGCTGGTTCCAACGTTTTTCATCTACCATTCAAGAAATTGGCTTTCAACAGTCTCATGCGGATTACTGGTTATTCACTCAGGTTTGTGGACACTCTATTACTGTGGTGTTGCTCTACGTCGATGACATGATCATTGCAGGAAATGATGAGGAAACCATTAGTTAACTCAAGCAATTTCTTAGTGGATGTTTTCGAATTAAAGACCTCGGACCATTAAAATATTTTCTTGGTGTCGAAGTTGCACGGTCCAAAGCTGGGATCTCCATTTGCCAACGAAAATATACCCTGGACATATTGGAGGAAGCTGGCTTGCTTGGCGTAAGACCTGCCAAGGTACCTATAAAACCTGATTTAGTATTGACGACAACAGGTGGTGATGCCCTCAAGGACCTAACTCGATATCGACGTTTGGTTGGAAAATTGATCTATCTTACCATTACAAGGCCAGATATTACGTATGCAGTAAATAATCTCAGTCAATTCATGCAAGAACCGACACTTCATCACCTTAAGGCAGCACATCGTCTTCTCCAATATCTGAAAGAAGCACCAGGACAAGGGTTACTATTTCCTACGGTGAATCAACTTAATTTGATTGGCTACTGTGATGCGGATTGGGCTAGATGTCCGATCACACGCCGATCATTGACAGGTTTTTGTATCTTCCTTGGTAAATCACTTGTGTCGTGGAAAAGTAAAAAGCAAGTCATGGTGGCAAGATCTTCAGCAAAAGCCGAGTATCGCTCCATGGCTGCAACCACTTGTGAGCTTACTTGGCTAAGGAATTTGTTGAACGAGTTACGTGTAAACCATCCTGAGCCAGCAAGGTTGTTCTGCGATAATCAAGCTGCTCTACATATTGCAGCGAACCCTGTGTATCATGAACGAACCAAACACATAGAACTGGATTGTCATACTGTTCGTGAAAGGATTCAGAGGGGAGAGGTCAAGACCTCTCATGTGCAAACGGGATGTCAAATAGCAGACATGTTTACAAAGCCATTGAGAGCACCTATCTTCCATTCGCATCTTGGCAAGTTGGGTGTTATTGATATCCACACTCCAACTTGAGGGGGAGTGTTAAAGGAAATAAAATAGTCAACTAACATATATGGCTTAGAGTGATTGTAGGACACAATAAGAGGATTAGAGTAATTATAGTGATTGATTGTAATTAGCTTTCTTTTTACCTAGAATAACATCGCATCCTTGTATAAATCTCTACCTATGTACAGCTGCTATAATATACAAAATATATTCATACAAGCATTTTATATTGAATTTGTTGAGGCAGAGACTTGAGCTTAGGCCAACCATACAAGGCTAACCGTGTAAGATGCATTAATGATCCAACTTCAAAATCAGGGAAGGGGAAGGAACCGAGCTCTTGCCAGAATGAACCAATCGTCAAATGACGAAGAGAACTGAGGTTGTCTAAACTTGGAAGAATGTGTAAATTAGGCATACCATGTATTAACAGAGTCTCAAGAGAGAGTGGGAATTGTAGGCTGCTCACCCAACTTTCTAATCTTTCACAATTTCCAATCCTCAGAAGTCGAAGGGAGGTCATGGTGCGCAAGTCTGAAGTAGATTGTAGGCTAATGCACTCCTCCTCCTTCTCAGCTCTGCTACTTTTGACACCAAACGATGATAGCTTTGGGCAATTATATATCTCCAATTCCTGAAGATAGGGACATTGTTGTGGAAGAGCAGGTATGCTTGATAATTCACGGCACCCAAAGATTGTCAATTTCTGAAAAGAGTCGGTGAGGGACCCGCTGCCTTTAATTTCAATTGATGTCAGATTATTGCAATTCCCTATACTCACTTCCACGAGAGAGGCCCATAAACTCAATGGGCCTGATAATCCATTGCATTCCTTTATACTCAATTCCTGAAGAGAGGTGCAGTTCTTTAACCCACTTGGCAGGCGTGATAATCGTTCACAATCTTCAATCTCTAATTTCTGTAGAGATGCCATGCCCTGTTGAATTGGAATCAACTCTAGACTAGGACATCCATTAATAGTCAGTTCCTCAAGGAGAGGGAGTGTGTCTAGCCCATCGAACAAATGTCTCAGCTTTCTACAAATACGAACAACTATTCTCATAAGAAAGCAACAAGATCCAAGTACATTAGAGGAGGTGAGGGACACGCCGCCTTTAATTTCAATTGATGTCAGATTATCGCACTGCTGTACACTTAATTCCATAAGAGAGGTACATATACTCAATGGGGCAGATCATCCATGGCATTCTGAAATATCCAACTCGCAAAGAGAGGTGCAGTAGTCTAACCCACTCGGTAGGCCTGACAATCTTTCACAATCTTCAATCTTTAATGTTTGTAGAGATGTCATGTCCTGTGTAATCAGAATCGACTTTAGACTAGGACATTTTGATATATGCATGTACTTAAGGCCCTGTGTAATTGGAATCAACTCTAGAGTAGAACATTCTGATATATCCATGTACTTAAGGAGAGGGAATGCGTGCAGCCCATCCGGCAAATGCCTTAGCTTCCGACAATTTTCAATAAGCAATCTTTCAAGAGAACTACAGAACTCAGCGCCAACATATTTCAAGTTAGCCATTTCGATAATACTAAGCTCTGTAAGACTGTGTAGATGACCGAGCGGTGGGACCTCGTCACATTTGTTGCATCCACGTAACATAATCTTCCTCAAATTCTCAAACAATAGTGAGCCACGTATCATCCACAATGGAAACTTATCGCCCATGAAGTTTACAATACTTAAGCTCTGTAACTTAGGATGCGGTCGTAAGCCTTCCAATACATCATTGTCCTTATTGTTGTCAGTTATTAACCTATATCTCGTCCATTGGAATGTCAAATGGCATACTTTCGTCTTTTCCTCTAACTTAGCTTTCTCTGCTTCTTCTCTGTTCCCTACGTGCTCCAGATCACAAATGATTAATTCACCTCTCAATTGATTCAAGCTAGCCAACTCTTCGATTTGACGACCAATCTCATTACCCAATGAAAAGTAAGATAATGTTTGAAGGCAAGTCAACTGCCTTATCCCTTGTGGGAGTTTCGTTCTCTCACCAAAATGAATATGCCTTAGGTTGATCAAGTTTAGTAGTTCTTTTGGAAACTCTTTAAGGGCACATTTAGTTGCTCTTAACGTCTGAAGGTTATAGAGCTTGCCTATAGACTTGGGGAGTGCTTCAAAGAATGTTTTGGAAATGTCAAGATACCTCAAATGCTTCAACCTACCAATTGAATCTGGAAATTCTTCAATATTACTAAATTTTAAGACATGTAAAGCCTTGAACCGTAGATGAATGTTAACAGGAACTTCATCGTTGTCCAAAAACAATGACCGTAATTTTTCAGCACTTTTTTTTGGAATTGATTCTAGTTTAGAAATAGAAACCCGAGCAACATGTCAAACCTCAAGTGTATTATCTATGACACTTAAGTAACTTGTCAAGCTTTCGGATTTGTATACAAGTTCTGCAAGATCATGCACAAGATCGTGCATCTTGCATTCCTGAATAATGCCATAATCATCCATTATAGCATCTTGAAATAAGGAGCTCTGCAATAGAATATCAAAATATTCATTGCCTATGTCCTCCGTATTTTTACTTTCACCAGGTGAGTCATTGCCTTTGATCTTCATATCTTTACTTTCACCAGGCGAAGGGTGGAGTAGTCCTTGAGCCATCCAAAGTTGAATCAAGCTATTTCTTTGAATTTTTGAATCATTCTCAAACATTGCTTTAATGATGATGATCCTAAGTTGTCAAAACTCAACTTCAAGATTGACATAATTTTATCTTCTTTTGATAGGTTGCCCCATATTCTATTGTTTGTAAATGACGACCAATCTTCAATACTTTTTCTAGTCTGCAAGATGCCTCCCAAAACCTGTTGATTGGATTAGTGAGTTTCTTGTTAAATATCATTGAGTAGATTACTTATGACTACAATGATTTTTTGGATCAATGTGAAGTGCAACAATGTTCTCCACCGTATCCTTTTTATCAGATGAAAAAAAAAAAAAGAATGAATAGTTTGTAACTAGATTAACTTAATGCAACTGACTTAAGCCGCTTAACTAATTTAATGATTATAACTAGATTGCTTCCTTTTGGAGAGGTTCGCTGCCAAGTGGTGACCTGATCCAATAATACATCACCATGTGCATAACACTTGCACATGGCAATAGATTGTTCGATAAGGAAAGCTACATGGTTGTGAATCTATTCCATATATGTGCTTTTCCTCTGGAAGACCAATCTATGTAAATTGAAGTTTCCAAATTTGAACACAATTTAATCATTTTGCAAATAATATATCTAAAATTCAATGGGCTTGGAACAATTTGTTTGTTATCAAAATCAATCAAACTGAAGATTGTTTGGTCATCCATATCTATTAAACAAATTGATGATGTTGGTACCAATTAAAATTTCCATGTTGAACGTTAGAGAGCACATAACAAACAGACAAACATACGGATTACAACCTACGAATATTATTTGATTAACGGAAAAACAAAGAAACTGGATTGCCGAGATGGTTACATGTTGAGTCTTTATTGTGACCGACTGATACATAAGTGAATAACAAGCATCCTATTATAGTAAACTAAATCTTAATCTCTAAACAAAAGCTTAATTCTAACGGGTTGAGCCCAAATCCTTAACTTATTATTTTCCAACGCTCTTGTCAAAGCCATAGCATTAAACAACATGAGTTTGCCAATAAGCAAAAGTGGATACAAAATTTGTTAGTCGAACAGACAAGCAGAGTCTGCAACACGAATAGACAAACAAGCAAACGATCTAATTTATGATCATATACACAACGTCACGTGAATGACCCTAATCTGAGTACTTGAGCAATCGTTGTGGTAGACCACAATAGATTCCATACAGAGGTACAGCCCAACATCAGCAACAAATGGTTCAAACAGAAGCAACTTCATTACTTGGAACATTTTATCGGCCCAATCCAAGAAGGTGGCCCAATGGAAAGCAACTTATTAATACTTTTTCAACTTTCTGTTTCAATGTCCTTTTGTCTTTTCTAATAGAAGCAATACTGGCTTTCTTAAAAAATAATAGTTGCAGCATTACAGGCAGAAGACAAAGTGGGTTTTGCAGCAGTAGTGCGATGTGGGTTTGAGGACAGTCAGCAAAACGGTGATGGATCGGGGCTGAAGGTGGGCTCATGCGGCAGTAGATGGTTGGGCGACGACACGGTAGCTGGCGCGAAGCAAGCAGACTTCGACAGGACATAGAGGTTCAAAGGCGGTCAAGCACAGGCAGTGAAGCAGCAGGGTTCGATTGAGCAGTGGTGTAGGCGTGATGCTCAGGCAGACGGTGGCCATGGCAGTGATTTCTGGGTTTCAATCTAATATGGTTCGGGGTTGGTCAGGTAATCAGTAGCGATGCGGATTCTGGTGGGCATGGCGGCGGGTCTGACGCAGGTATGGTACGGGTTAATGGGTTTAGCAGATCTGGTCAGGCGGGTATGATTCTATGCTTCGCGGTGGTTCAGGCGGACGGCAAGATGATCAGGCAGCATCAGCAGCGGGTTCGTGGTTCGATGCGGTGGTGGGAGTCGATTTCAGACAACAACAACAAGAGGCAAGCGCAGCGTGGCTCCAGCGCCTCACGGCTCTGGCGGCTTGGCCTGCTCGGCTTCAGACCGGTAAAACCATCTTCGATTCCAGACGGTCGAAAATAATCCGAAAATCGTATTCAATCGAGGCCTAGCTCACAAAATCTGAAAGGGCAAAGGGCTGCATCCATCCAGCCAGCCCGGCTGGCTATAAAAAACATGAATCATCTAGTTTATAATAAACAAAATGCTTAAAAAGAAATTTGAATTCAACGGTTAGCTGGCGTGAAATACCATTAGATTCGTTTTCTATTTTAGCCTTTTTTTTTTTTTGAATTCTAAAAAATTCTAATTTTTTTTCTTATAAATACTTAAATCATTCCTTCACTATTTCTACACCATTTCAATTATCATATTTTCTTTCTTCTTTCAAAAATCTATTCTTCAATTTTTTCAATAATTTTCAAATGACCTCGTCTACAAAGAAAGGTAGGGTTTGGATCCAAAAAGAAAATGAAGTTCTTTGTAAGGCTTATAAATGAGTGTCAGAAACATAGTGAGGGAGAATTGTCCAACAAATGAAGGATTTTGGACTCATGTGTTCAAAAAATACTTAGAGTTCTACGAAGGCACCACTCCAGTGAATATTTGAAACCACGACAGTTGTTCTTGAAGATGGAAGAAACATCTTCAGCCAAATTTGAACAAATGGCATCAGACATTGCTTGCAGTCGCAGATATACATAAAAGCAGCGCTAATTATTACGACGAAGTAAGTGTTTTCATAATTTATTTTAAATATTTAATTATATTATATTTAATTTCATAAATTAATTTCCTTTAATTTTTTTTCTAGGTACGCCAAACAGAGGAATTGTATATGGAGAACAACTCGAAACCCTTTCAGTTTCACAGTTGTTGGAAAATTTGTAAAGGGTGAGTGTTATTTGAAGATTCACCACATAGAGCTCCTACACCGGCGTTCGGAACTGTATCATTAGCTACAAATATGAATGAAGATGGATCTCCAACCATTCAACAAACAAGGGTAGAAAATCCGTATTCGGGTGAAGGTTTCATACCTAGGACTATGGGACGAAACAAGACGCGAAGGTTGAAGGAAAAGGGCAAGGCAAATGATGATTACGCCGCTCAACATGAAGTGGCAGCCTCATTGCGATTAATGGCGGATCAAAATGCCCTTGAGGCAGAAGAAAGGAAAAGTAGGCATGAAGAACGGGCCAAACAAATACAAGAAGAGATGGATGATAAGAATATGGAAATGAACACTTCGAATTACACTCCAATGAGTAAGGCCTATACTCCTACAATGACGGATGATGAAGATGATGTTGATTATGAATATTAAATTTAAGTTGTTGTAGTTTTTAAATTCAAGTTAATGTTGTTTTTAAATTTTATTTGTAGTTTTTAAATTTAATTCGTCGTTTTTAAATTTAAGTTGTAGTTTTTAAAATTTAAGTTGTTGGATTTTAATTTAAGTTATTGTATTTTTTAAATTTAAATAATAAATTATGTTTGGACCTTTGGCCCTCGGTTAGAGACGGAGACAAATATAGCCTTGTACTGTTCATTAAAATATTAATATCTTGGAGGGCCAGAGGGTTAAAATGAGCCATTTGGCCAGCCTTCGGTTGAAGATGGTCTAAGGCTCCGACTTCAGCCTTCCAATAGATTTCAGCGGCTCCAGTTGTCAAACAGTTTTTTTAATAAACGACTAGTATATGCCCCATATTTTGTGTGTGAAAATAACATTTATTTGTATTTTAAAATGGCAATGAGAAAGGGGGAAAGAAAAAAATGTGGATTAGAGAGAGAAGTTTTTTTTTTATATTTTATTTTTCAAAATTAAATGATGTTAAGATCATTTTTGGGTGAGGCTTTGAAAAAAAAAAGTGTAAAATTTAGTTTGTGTGAATTTACTTTATTAGCTGTGATTTTGTTTTGTAGGAGAAGATAAAATTGTCTTTTTATTCTATTTGGTTGACAAAGAAGGCTTTATTAATGTAGTTTAGATAGAGACTCATTTTGGCTCAGCCTAATTGTTAGAATAAAAGCTTAATTGTTTAAATAGTTTGATGGAGATCTCTAGCATCATTTAAGGTTTTTAACTCCTTTATCAATGTATTCAACATCCCACAAATTATAAAATTTAACTCAATTCAAATAATATTTTACAATATAAAAATTACTTAAAAATTCATAATAGAGTAATGTTGGTCTTCACATAGCTGTACCAAAAAATAATGTACCCACGTAATTATTAATATATTATAAGAAATAACTATTGATGTATTTAAAACATAAAATAGATAGATATAATTAGTATGGGTACATTAAAATAGGGTTACCAATTAAATAAAAAAAAATAGATACATGTTAAAAGTCAAATTTATGTGTACAAACTAAAACTAAAACTAAAGGAATATTACTACAAATGAAAAAAAATACAAATTATAAATAAAAACATATGAAAAAAATTACTAAATAGATATATTGGGAAATGATTAATAAGTTTTTCGCTTTTAAAAGACATATGCTGACTTGTAAATAATTTAATATTCAAATATGATATATTCAAATATGACATAGAGAAAAGTCAAGGACCTTGATAAAAAAATGGAAAAATAAAAAGTTTCAATTAATAAGAAAGAAAAATGAAGGATAAAAATCTAATTTATCCAACGACAAATCCAAACAATCTAAACCCAGACAAACGAATAAACAGAGAAGACATATTCAAACGCCTTGCCATGAGTGAGAAGCCAGTGGCATATTTAGGTACAAATGGAAATCCATATGAGTTAACAACACTCAAAATTGTATTTTGTGCTACTTCTCCTGATCATTGGAGGGAGGGGTGGGAGAGGTAGCAATTTAATGAATCAAACTAGTGGGCTCAGAATATGATAAACCACAGATAGCAGTATAGGTAGGGAGCTAGATACCAACCAAACCAGATCAAATCCAACAAGGATTAAATCTGCTCTAATACCAAATTGAATATTAGAGTGCGCATAACAAACAAACAAACAAACGAATTACAAACATCGAATATTATTTAGATTAGCAGAAAAAAAAAAAAAAAGATTGTTGAGACGACTATGCTTAAAGACTACATTGTGACTGCTTTATACATAAGTGAAGAACAAACATCCTATTTATAATAAACTAAACCTTAATCTCTAGACAAAAATCTCATTCTAACGGGCTATGTTCAAATTCTAAACTTATTATTTTCCAACATATATCATATAGTTAATATCTATAATTTGAAATGAATTTTTTTACTAATGATTACGATAGTGAATGGTTTTGGTTAAGACACTTGTATGGTCAAAATACGTTTGTCATAAGGCCCTGTCCTAATTTATAAGGTGGTGAACCTCATGGGGTAAATGAAAGTATTGTCCTAATTTAAAAATTAAAACGTGTGAAAAAGGTAAAAATAAAATGATGTTACTTGTATGTTATGATATATAATAATAGTACGCACCTTTGCCGCCAATGGATCACCATTACAATTTTTAGCAATCTCTTTTCCAATTTCCTCCAACTCAGGAGCACTACTAATGGGCAAAGCTTTATCTTTCATGATGGACCAACATTCATCCACAGAAAGTTCTCCCAATTCATGCCGTGGAAGTAGCTTTTCTGAGATTGATGCGACTTTGTTACTGCGAGTAGTGACAATAATTTTGGATCCCCCAACAGAATTAAGCTTTGACAAACATTCCATTAAACTATCCCATATTTCTTGATTTTCATTCCAAACGTCATCAAGTACGAGTAAGTATTTTTTATCTTTCAACTTTTCTTTTAAGGGACATAAGAAGAACATTCTTGTTATCTTTCGAAGGGACTGGTGGGGGATTGAGATGTTCTAACATATGGTGCAGAAGTAAATTGACGTCGAAAGGGTTCGATACACAAATCCATATTCTAACTTCAAAAGAATTTTGTATCAAACCCTCATTGTAAACCGCCTTGGCCAAAGTTGTTTTTCCGAGGCCTCCCATTCCCACAATGGCATAACCGCAATATTCTCTTGGTCGTATTTGGAGTCGGTCAAGGTTTTAACTATATTCGACACATCACCTTCCCTTCCAACGGTTATTTCATCTTTGCCAATGAGTGAGTCGCTTCGTCTGTCCCATGTAATTCTCTGACGGGTTGCATCTGTATTCCTGGAAACTAGTCCAAGAGGAGATGCTTTCCTCTCGAGATCCACCAAGGATGCATTGATCGTCTGAATTTTATGCGCCATTTGAAGGCGAAATGCAAGTGGATTAGAGAGTGAAAAGAAGTTCAGAACCTTTCTCTTCATATGGTTTTGGATTTCGACTTTACGCCGATCAACTTCGTACTTGAATTCATCCAAGACATCCTCAGCATCTTCAGCTACGCCTTTGAGTTTCTTCACCCATTCCTCTATTGCCAGAGCTGTTAGAGAATGAAAACAAGTTAAAATACCTTGTCATTGTAGCATGTGTGTGCGAGATTATAAGACAAATTCAAAAATATATACTACCTTGTGGTTTGTAGGCAACACCATTCAATACAAGTTCAATGGTAGTGAATGACTCTTTAAGCTTTCGGAGTTCAGCTTTGAAACCCCATGCAAGACTGAATTCTTCCTCAGCAAGTGAAAGCACCTTTTCCAGTATTCCCTTCGCACCAAAAGTAAGCACAAATTCAGATGCCATTCTTTCAACTCCTTGCAACTCAGCTAATCACAGTGTTGAATTTTTCCCTTGGATACAAATTACAATACAAGTGAAATGGAGGATGGTATGATAGATAACAAGCGTCGGTAGGTTTAACTTTTTATAGCGTGAAAAGGGGGGTGCATGATAATTGAAAGAAAACTACCGAAAAGTAAAAGAAAAAAAAAAAAAAGCTTTAGTTTTAATGAAAAAAAGGCAAATAAAGATGTAGTGAATAGTAAAAGGAAAAGGTAAAAATATGATTTTTTTTGTTAAAAGTAAATAATATCGGAAATGTTTCGTTAAAACTCTCATAATTGAGTGATATATTCAATCAATTAATTAAGTTTACACAAGAGCCACACGCTTATTAAATTATTGCAACACTAACCTTAAAATATAGGGAGGTTTAACAACTGTTCACTTTTAACGAAAAACCACATTTATACATTTCTCTAGTATCATTCACTATACCTTTAAAAAGGGTTTTTCATTAAAAGAGAAGTTTTTTTTTACTTTTCGTTAGTTTTCCTCAAAATATATGAAGGGGTCAATTATTTAGGCCCTAAAGAAATGATGAAGAGCCAATGGTTGCTTATAAGTAGTTGAGCTACTTTTCATATAGCCAATTGATTTTATGGTTGAACCTCAACTTTCTCCATGGTATCAGAGCAGATTATCTAAAGTGTGAAGCCCAACGGCCACATGCCCTCCACGACAATCGAGTTGTGTTGTCCACGTGTTAGGCTTAAAAATTCACCACATGTGAATGACGTGTTGGGAATGAATCATATATTGATGAGAGGAGGGACAATGCTTATGCTTATAAGTAGTTGGGCTACTTGCGATATTGTTAATTGATTTTGTGATAGAATCTCAACTTTTTTCAATAACATTACTAGCAAACTAACAATCAACATGGACGTCAATTGGACGGTGTGTATACAGAGAGCTTAAATTTTGTTACAGTCGATTACACACCATCCACATGTATATACGTATTCGACATATTCCCACTTAGAGGAACCTTTGATGTTTGACAAATCAAAGGCTGCTAGATTTGTGAACCATGTGGATTATATATGTAACACTTCTTTCTAGAATATATTGCCGGTTAGTTATTAGATTTGTGAACTATATGGATTATCATACATGTAACATTTTTTTTTCCAGAATTTATTGCCCGTTAAGTATTTGTTGACTCTAAAAATTACAAAACCTACATGGCGCGCAGGCCGAGTAACTAATAAGCTAACTACGTCCTTCGGTTGAATGCGGGACGTGCCAACTCGTCGGCCGAGCTTGGCCGAGGAGTAAAATTTGTTGATGTCGCGTTGAGCGCGTCGTTGACTTCTCTATCTTGCGATTGCGACCAAGGAATGAACATTCTCGGTATCTGGGTTCTATAGCCTGAAGACAAGGCTACTAATTCTGCGGAGTTCACAAATCGTCGGAGCCCGATTCGGTCACTGTGATTATATTCGTAAGAGTATAAGCACGTCGAATGGAGACCAAACTATATGGGCATAGGTACTCAAATGTGATGTATGTCTTGATGGTAAATGTAGTTCGGCCGTCGGAATGCCGAACCCTGAAACTTACTTGCGAGTATCCAATCATAAAATCACTCGGCGTCCAGTACGCCGAGTAACACAATTCGTAACACCTAACTATGTCGGGAAGGCTAGCAAGGTGACCTCTACCAACAAGGGTTCGAAAACCCTTCTCGGCCGAGACTTAGATAGGTAACCGGTCGGCCTCGACGCAGTGCTGTTTATCCAAACTGAAGGTGCTTCTCGGTCGGCTGATTCTGCGGCAGCAGTGCTGTTTATCCAAACTGAAGGTATGTTGGCAGAAAAAGAAAAGGAAAAATCTCAAGGTATTTGAGAGGTTTTGCGCAGGACAATTGTATGCTGAATTGAAGGGGGCTTTTCTGTCGCATGATTTCTTGTATTTATAGCACCCCATGCCTTGAGACCGATTTGCATCCTGATCTAGATTGGGAATCCTTGTCCCATTTCAACTCTAACTCGAACAAACCTACTCCCATTGGGATTCTGAATTTTCCTTCTTTTCGAGGCTTTATTCTTTGCCGGTCGGGAATCCTGGTCGCACCAGGACTTCCTCGACCTTTTCTCTTTATCCGGACTACTTAGGATAGGACTTGACCGATCTTGCCAACTGGCCTGAGATTTATTATTCGGCCCATAGTATTTGACATAACCTTGGGCTGAGTACATCCTGCTGCTCGGCCCAACAATATTATTTTGGGCCCAAACAGTATTAGAGTTTATTGTGGTTTTCTTTACACATAGGTGTTTTGTATTCGTTTGTTTTTGTTAAGTCTAGCAAGATATATATAGTCTTAGGGTTTATGTTGTCGTCTGAGCGAATTTGTATGGTTTCTAATTCCGTAAGGTGGAATCATAAGCTATCCTAAATGAAGTGGAGGAAAACTTCTTACCTGTTATGGAGCAGGGGCCAAAAATCTTAAGTCGCCCTCATTGTGCAACTTCTTTCATTTTTTTTTTGTTTAAAATAAAGCTAGGTCTGCCATTCTTGTTACCATCACTTAAAACTTGCGGAGTAGAATTCTTTCATCTTTTTTTTTTTTTCTTCACTTCTCTCTTTTTTTATTTGAAACGGTCATGATTAAATCATATCAACTCTTGTGTTGACTTTTTAGAGAGAGAGAGAGAGAGAGAGAGAGAGAGAGAGAGAGAGAGAGAGTGAAGAGTGTGAGATGAGAGGAGCTCCCCTTTAGGAGAGGAAAGAGAAGGGAAAAAGAGGGGACAAAATCTTACCCGTGGCAAGTTGGCAACATTGCACACAATAGTTAAGTGATTAGACTGATTGTCAATGTTGGACGCGAAGGCTTTTCTATCCTATGACACAATAGCTAATTTATTAAGACCTTAGAATTTGCCGGTAAATAATGACATAGTGCACAGATGGTTACATTGAGGCTTTGAGTATAGTCCAAAATTTCGAATATCAATATAGAAATTTGGCCAATAATTAAAACATATATTCAATGACAAAAAAACACTGACATTTTTTAGGTCAAGTGCTGCATCAATAATCTTACCAAACAGTTAATTTACTCAAGAGCAGCATATTAAATGATAATTGTAAGACCAACCATATATATATATGAAGGGGTCAATTACTTGGGACCTAAAGAAATGATGAATGGCCAATGGCCAAGGTTGGAATTTGAATGAATGGCCAAGCAAAGGTTGGAATTTGAGTTGTTGCAAATTTGTTCGTCTGGCTAGGTAATAACAACTGTACCAAACAAATTTGTCACTAGCAAACTATAAAATGATGAAATTAGGGTTCCATCATAAAATCGATTGTCAATATGAAGAGTAACTCAAGACCATATAAGCACATAGCAAACCTTATCTCTCACCGATGTGGGACAACTCTCAACACGCCCCCGCATGTGTAGCAGATTTTCAAGCCTACACGTGGACAACAACTGGGTGACGTGGAGCGCGTGTGGCCGTTTGGCATCACACGAGGACAACCCACTCTGATACCATGATGAAATTGGGGTTCTACCATAAAACCAATTGGTAATATGAGGAGTAGCCAAATACCGTATAAGCACATAGCAAACCTTGTCTCTCACAAATGTGGGACAACTCTCAACATAAAACACAACATTTTGGAGAATAATAATGTTCACCAACCACTCTTTCGTCTTTACCTCCAAGTTGTTGCAGACTCATAAATATAATTTACATATCTTCCAAAAAACTAATGTAACAATTGACGACTAATCTTGGACATCAATATCACTAAAATATTATCTTTACCTATAATCCAAATTTGTTCAATAAAACAAAGTCATGTTCATAAGTGCTCCATCTTCTTATGAATACGCTTACGCTGCTGGCCATATTTATTTATAAGAAGTGATTTAGAGGAATTTCGTTTCCTATTCTTTAGTGATTTCAGCATGATGATTATTATCTCGAATATCTTTGAAGCTCAACAACCTTCTTCCGCAACATGATGAATAAATTGTCTCTTCAATGGTTAATTTAGTACCATTATATTATACTGGCAGTGCCATGCTCCTCAATTCACATTAAATGGGCTTGAAAGGTTGTTGGAGGTGAATATTTAGGTACAAAGTAAAATAGTGTCGTTCACGCAAAGATAGTATGTGTAGTTGCACTATCTTCTAGACAACTAACTTCACTAAAAGACTTATCTTGAAGTAAATTAATTGAATCAGTCACATGTGTAAGGAAAATTTTGAATTTCATTCATTCAATTAATCATTTAAGAAATAACGTCCATAAATTAATTATCCAAAACTTTTAAAACAAACATCAAATAAATAATCTTAAGCTAGCAAGATATATTGCCTGTTAGAAGGAAAGTAGGCCGAAAATTAGAGGGAAACGAATACTACCCGTGGCAAGTTGGCAACATTGCACACAATAGTTAATTTATTGGACCGTTTGTTAACGTTGGATGCCAAGGCTTTTTAATCATATGACACAATAGTCAACTTATTAAGACTTTTTCTAGAGTTTGCCGGTAAATAATAACATTGAGGCTTTGTGTAACGTCCCATGTCATTCAGGGAAGAGGATTCTCTATGCCTTATATGTGTATGCTCACCTCTTATAAGACGAGGCATTTTGGGAGCTCATTGGCTTTGGAATTCGTCGGAACTCCGAAATTAAGTGAGTTCGGGTGTAAGCATTCCTAGGATGGGTGATCCACTGGGAAGTTCTTGTGTGAGTTCCCAGAAACAAAACCGTGAGGGCGTGGTCGGGGTCCAAAGCGGACAATATCGTGCTACGACGGAGTCGAGCTCGGGTCAAGATGTGACAATTTGGTATCAAAGCCACTCCCTAGCCGAAAGTGTGTCGACGAGGACGTTGGACCCCTAAGGAGGGTGGACTGTAACATCCCACATCGCCCAGGGGAGATGCCTTATAAGTGCATGCTCACCTCCTTTATGCCTTAACGTTGGATGCCAAGGCTTTTTAATCATATGATACAATAGTCAACTT